AGATCGCGGGTATGGTGTCCGCAGCAATCGTTCCTTCGAGCCCAACCAGATTATTGTGGAGTACACCGGCGAGATCCTCACCCAGCTTGAGTGTGAGAAGAGGATGAGAACAGTATACAAAAACAATGACGTGTGTGCCCTTTCTCCTGATGCTTTACTATTTATTGACTTCATCAACCAGTGTTACTATCTCATGTATTTTGATCAGAACATGATCATTGATGCTACTCGTGGGTCTATTGCTCGCTTTGTTAACCATGCCTGTGAGCCAAACTGCCGTATGGAGAAGTGGACGGTTGCTGGCAAGCCACGCATGGCACTCTTCGCTGGAGATCGAGGTGTCTCGACAGGGGAGGAACTAAGCTATGACTACAACTTTGAGTGAGATTTCTATGCATATCAAGCCACTTGAGCATGTGCTAACACTAAATCAGTCCCTACTCTAACAAGAATGTTCAAGAATGCCGCTGTGGATCAGCGAACTGTCGAGGCTTTCTTGGTCCACGGCTGAAGGAGAAACAGCAACGTGCCAAAGAACTTGAGAAACGAAAGTCCGAGGGAAGCCCCAAGAAGGCAACTGCAAAAAAGGTCATCGGCAAAAAGCGAAAGGCCTCAGAAGAATCTGAGAGCGACGAGTCCGACCAAGGCAAAAAGCGCAAGATTATCAGGTCCAAGACCATCAAGGCCGGCGTAAAAAAAGCAATGGCTAGCGTTCGTGGTAAGAAGACGACCAAGTCAATGGTAAAGGGCAAAACCACAACTGTTGTGAAGTCGAAGACCCATGTCAAGCTACCAACTGTCAAAACCACAGGGCGAATCAAGGCCACTGTCCGTGCTGCTCGATCCAACAAGGCAGCCAAGAAAACCCCGGCTTCTCCTAAGAAGACAACATCCCAGCTCAAGCGGCCTTCTGCTGAAACCAAGAAGCAAATCCTCGCTGCTGCTTCCAACGGCTCCGGGGCTTCTCCTCGCAATCCTGCGAAAAAGATCCCCTCCAAGGTCAAGGCCAAAAAGCCCACTCTCAAGGCTAAAAGCACTACCAAAGGGGGCTTTGGCAAGGGAGTCAAAAGTGCGGCTCGACGTGTTATGAAATCTGTCAAGGGAGCAAAAAACTGATTAACTTACGGTCAAACTACGGCTAGGAACCTCGTCTTTCTGGGTTTTTATGGACTTTGCTGCTTGAAAGAACCGAATTATTTCCCCAATACGTCTTTTTCTGGCAATGCCAGGTCTGTGACTCTCTAAATCCCTTTGGCTCTAATCTTTTCTTTTGACCTTGCTTTTGTGGCCACTTGGTCCATTCTCTCTATTCTACTTGATAATTTCCCCCTCTCTTTGGTAATCTTTTATTCCTACTTTGGCTAAAAATTCGTGTTTTGGCAAACCCCCCTGTACGACATTCCCTGTTCCCTCTGGCGTTGTTCTTCCCCTCCTCCCTTTGCTTTTCTCTTATCTATTTCCGTTTGCCTTTTATTTTTACTGTGGCTTCATGGCTTCTTTGATTTATGCGTCATGGTTATGATAGTGAGAGATTGCCCTGAGCCATTGAGTGTTGGTCCTGATATAGCTAGGGTAGATGCCTCTTAAATTCAACATTGTTTTCCCTGGAAGTTTTAGTCTCTGTAGATCTAAAGTCTATAGTACTCCATACAACATTGGATACGGTTACTAATTTGTTATTTATTTTCTATCTCCAAGAACTGTAGGATTGATTGCAAGACTTGGTTCTAGATGTTCAAACTGATCGCTTCTGTCCGAATCCCATTCAAACCAACTGCAATCGTCGAGGTCGATAATCCTACGCTATGGCCCTATTCATCTATCCTGGACGAAGATATGGGTTATAGTGTAAAAGGTTAGATCATCAAACCAAATCTATTGGCAACTTGAAACTATCTAAGCCAGGGGAATCCATAAAAGAAAAAAAAAAAAGCCCACAAGCCAGTACGTTCACGTACGGCAAAACATATAATCATCCAACAAGCCTCATACAACCTTATAGAATTTTACTGACGCTCCAGGAAACCCTGGCTCTCCAAAATGAGAATGATCTCGTGCACAATGCTGCGCACACTCTGCTTGGAGAAGTCAACAACGAGATCAGCCTTCTCAGGAACCTCATAAGGGTCATCGACACCAGTGAAGCCCTTGATTTCGCCGCGACGAGCAGCAGCATAGATACCGCGCTTGTCGGACTTCTCGCAGTGCTCGAGAGGAGTGGCAACGTGAACCAGGAAGAAGGAACCAGCTTGGGAGACGGCGTCACGGGCAAACTTGCGGGACGCCTCGTAAGGAGCAATGGGAGCCGCGATGACGGCGGCACCGGCACGGGTAAGCTCGGTGGCCACGAAGGCAATGCGCTGAATGTTGGTGTGGCGGTCCTCACGGGTGAAGCCCAGCTCGGAGGAGAGCTCATGGCGGACAGTGTCACCCAGCAATAGGGAGACGGAGCGACCACCCTGCTGGTTCAGAGTAACCTGCAAAGCACGGGCGATGGCATCCTTGCCGGAGTTCATATAACCAGTCAGGAAGATAGTGAAACCCTGGGTAGCGCGAGGGGGGTTGGACTCGCGCAGAATTTTGACAACCTCCGGGTAAGAGAACCACTCGGGGATGTGGGCGCCGGAGCGCAGACGACGACGGAGCTCGGTACCGGAGATGTTGAGGGTCTTGACGCCAGCGGGGACCTGGTCAACGGGGCGGTACTCGTCAGTGTCAGGGAGGTAGGTAACCATCTGGAATTCGACAACCTCGATGCCAAGCTCGGTCTTGTACTTCTCGACGGCGTGCTGAGCATCATAGGGGCCGTAGAAATCCTCGCCCTTGGAGTTGGAACCAGGACCGGCGTGGTCACGACCGACAATGAAGTGGGTGGCACCATGATTCTTGCGGATGATGGCGTGCCAGATGGCCTCACGGGGACCACCCATACGCATGGCCAGGCCGAGAAGACCCAAGACGGCCATGCCGTTGGGGTAGCGGGGAAGGAGAGCCTCGTAGGCGCGGACACGGGTGAAGTGGTCAATGTCACCGGGCTTGGTGAGACCGACGACGGGGTGAATCAGGACATTGGCCTGGCGGGAACGGGCCGCGCGGACAGTCAGTTCACGGTGGGCACGGTGCATGGGGTTACGGGTCTGGAAGGCAACGACACGGGACCAGCCCAGTTTGTCGAAGTGGACGCGTAACTCTGCGGGGGTGTCTGTGAAGAACTATTAGCCAAATTCAAGAGCCGACGGAAAGGAATTGAACATACAGCGCAGGGCGACATAGTCGTAGTGGTTCAGCTTGTTGACAGCCTCGATCTTGCCACCAATGTAGAACTCCTCAACGGAGTTGTTCAGGTACACGATAGCGGGGTGCTCTGGGTCACCGCCGAAGACAAGCTTAGCCTCTCTGGTCCTAAATCAGGGTAGAACCACGTCAGCAAGCCCCACTATAGCGGGTTAATGATTCGAGGTTTGTGACATCAAACGCCCAAAAATAAAGATAAAACAAGGTACCCGAGAATACAAAATAACGATCGACTAAGCGACCCGTTCCAAACGTCAGATTGAGAGAAAGACGAAAACTCACTTGTCGGGGCGATAAATGTCATCAATGGTAAGAATAGCCAAGTTACGGTCGTCACGGAAGTCACGCAGGGTGATGCGAGAACCAGCTTGGAGCTTCTTCTCGTCGATAACCTGTTGGCTAGCATCGAGGGTAATGGGCATCGAGAACACATTGCCGTCGGCAAGGCGGTTCTCCTCACAGACACTATGCACCTTGTCAGCCACCGCTGTTATAGATTGTCGGTCCAAAATGAGGGATTCCTCATTCCAATAAGAACATCCGTGTCACACATACTGGTCGTAGTCTGCCTGGTTCATAAACCCTACATGGATGTTAGCTATTGCACCTCTATGTCCACATCCCTCCAAAAACAAAACAAAAAAAAAGAGGGATTTGAATGCCAAAAAGAAACAATTGACCTTACCCTCAAGAGGAGAGAAACCGCCGTTCATAATCAGCTCGAGATCGCACAGCTGGCGCTCAGTGAGCACCACAGCAGGGAGAGTCTCAGCCTCAGCGGCAAGCTCAATCTGGCGGGGAGCATCGCGGGCGAGAAGGTCCTTGAGGACACCACCATGAGGGGCGTTGGCCATAATGAATATGAAAACAAAAGGAGCAAAAATAGAATAAGAAAAGAGTGAACAAGAGAAGGAAAAAAAGAGGAAGAAAGCTTTGCTTATCAAGAAATTTCCATTTGGAGGGGTGTGGATTGCACCATCCGCACATCCAACAAACGTCGTCAACAAGTGGAGACCCTGGAAGTCTTGGCTTTTTCGATTTTCTTTGCAGAAAAGGTACTATACGGAGTACAATATACGGAGTATGGAGTACCTTGTCCATCATTCTACGTTATTATGGATCTCTCAAGGCTATTAATATCTTTTTAGAAGTTTGTAATCTATTTAGTTCCATATTTAATAGTATGAGTGTATGTATAAATCTGGATATCTTCGAAACTAGTATCGGAGTATGGACTATGGAGTACAAACTGGGGATTTTCGGATTTTCAGGGGCAAATAGATAATTTCATTCTAAAGAAGGATCAGGTATATAGTTGTAGGGTCTTATATTCTAGAAATATAATCTTTTATTTAGTCTCCATCTACTCTGGTGATACTGACGCTTTTGTAGTATAACGCTATAACGCCATCCAGGAAATCTAAAACCGTCTTAGCCCCAACGCCACATCTACAGAGGCTGAGGTCATGTGATCTATCACGTCACCTCCGCGCGGAATCACGACATTGCATTTCCTAATTAGGAATAGATCGACACGGGTCTAGAAAGCCTAAAATCCGGCAGAATTTCCAAATTTGGAATCTCTCAATTGGTTACCTTGTACTCCGTAGTATACAACATATAACTATAGTTAGATAGTATATACAACAAGTAATTAAATTGACTGTCTCTATGAACAACCTATATACATCTTTTCCTACATATTTTCACTCAGCCTTCACCGTGCTATTGGGAAGTGTGATGGTCAATTTCTCAAAATCCACAGTAAAGGCCCCCACACTCATCGACGGATGAGTCGAATTCGCATAGGAATCGACTAGGTATGCTTGAATGTCCTCCCCTGAGGACAAAGCCGAGTCAAGCGAGCCTGTCTTCTGTAGAATATACAACACTGCAACCCGAGAAAACCCAACAACGTCCCCGGGAACGGTGGTTGCAGTGGATGTGGACGCCTTTGCATCGTCGGAGGTAGATTGAAAGCTGATCTTGGTGGTGGAGGCGCTCGTTGCTGACTCGATTTGAGTAGGTGTCAATATGGCCGTGGCCGACTTGCTTGGCTCCGAAGCTGAGTCATCGTATAGGATACCATTCATAGTGGCCTCCGAACGGACAGCTAGGGTAGATGTTGGGTCGTTTTTTGAGACAGATGGGGTTGAGTCAGCTATCAACTCTACAGATCGGCGGGTCTCGCTTGTGTTATCACTTGTAACGTCACTGAAAGCCACAAGCGCGTTTTCGGTCTTGCAGGAGACGTCATTCATGCTGAAGAGAGCCATGATTGTAACTTGGTCGAGGGTGATATCGAATTTCTTCTTGGATTCTTCAAACAGAGAAGGAAGTGCACTGCCCATCGTCGCATTTGATCCGTTGGATATCAGGGCGGTGGTGCAGCTACCATCACCCGCAATATTGCACTGTGAGCCAGTATAACCATTCGAACAAACACATGAGCATTCAGCACCACCTGAGACACTCACGCCTCCATTTTCACAAGGGTTTTTTTCAGCACAGGGCGAGTTCGCTCTCTCGCGGGGCACGGCGACAAGGAATACAGGGAGAAGAACTGCGAGAATGACGACGATGAAGATTGCGATGCAGATGAGGATGAATATCTTCCGAGGCATTCCACAGCAAATCTTCCTCCCTCGCGGTGCATTGGGATCATCATCATTGGAGTTGAGCGTCTCAGCATTACGCAAGTTCGAGCGTCCAAAGAAAACAGGCCATGATGCGCGGCCTTCGGGTGTCGCCAAACCCGGCGGGGGGAAGGAGGCGAGCATGTCAGATAGAGAGCCGGAGTTGCGTGGTTGGTTTCCTAAGTATACACTGGTTAGTACTATTTCCGGACTTCACATGGTGATCTGGATCCAAAAGACTCACCCATCCCAGCCCTAAACTCTGCCTCACCACCACCAGCCAGATCAGCTCGGCTGGCGGTTCTCCCATGATCCAGGTTCGACGCGAGCTTCGTCGCCCTCCGAATCAAATCAGTGAGGCTGGAAAGGCTCCCACGGGCCTCTGCATCCCGCAACGCGTGCATATTTAGAGCAGGAGGCTTGCGACCGCCAGGCCTTTTGTCACTCATTGTTGGTGCAGCTTGGGGAAGGTCTCCCAAGGCCTCGAGCTCTTTTTCGAGCCGTGCATCGGAGGGCGAGTCATACTGCAGGGGAAAAGGTGGCTTTTCTGGGTCCGCGCTGTTCAGTGATTCATTTGATGCTGTAGAAGTAGACAATTTTCGTAATTGACTTGGTCGATGGAGCATCTGGTTTGCAGCAGCTCCCATCCCGAAAGATCGTACTGCTGTGCCCTTGGCAGCTTCCTCCTGGGTGGGTGCTGGCATGTCTATAACCGAAGTAGGGTTGGATTTGAGGATGGTACGCATCGTTGGCTTTCCTCGCTTTCCAAGACTGGCACTTCGGACAAGACTGGCATTGTCCTCTTGGAAGCCTGGTGATCGTTGTTCATCGTCTGAATCCATGTCAAGATATGCCCCTGGAATCTCGGATTCAGCGGGACCGGATCCCCAACTCGAGGGGATGGCTCGGCTCGACGCGACAGAGCATTTTGTAAAGCGAGAGTCGACGAATTCTTCTGGAATGGGCGAAACAGATGATTGACCAGGTCGGAGAGGCCGTCGCGCATTGGGCGGTGCGACAAGACCCACCATCCGGCGCCTAGGATCGTCCTGATCAAGACGGGACTCGGGCGGCGGGAAATTAGGCGGAAAGCGAGGTACATCAGGAACAGAGGGCGTCGATGAAGCCACTGACTGTCTGAACAAATCATCTGTCGCAATCGATATTCGAGGAGTCATATCAATTGTGCTGGTGGGACTAGCCGGGGCATCATTTATCGGCTGGCGTGACTGCACCAGCGGAGGGGGCTGAAGTTGTGAGAAGGATCGAGGAGGTCTTGGGTTCGGGCCCAAACTCCTCTCTGAGACTTGTCCATCTTGTTCTGAGTAAATGGACGCCGAAGGGATTTCACTCGGATGAGGTGGTCTCTGGGGTGGAGGGACACGCGGAGGACCAGGGGGGGTTAGATACCCAAGACGTTGACTGATCGGGTGCGGTGGGAGACCAGAATCAGGAAGAGGCCATTGTGTTTGATGAGAGATATTCCTGGGGACAGGCGGATTTCTCATCTGCTGGGGTGGTGAGGCCCGTTCTGGACGCACGCCGGCATCGAGCATCTGTCTGGCCCGCTTGACGGATCCTGTCCTGCCAGGCTCCCCAGAGGGCCCAGAGCTCGGTAAATTTGCGCTCATTGGAGGGTCGCTTGGTCGAAAGAAGTATGGCTAAATAGAATACAGATCTAGATGCTCTTGTATAGTTTGCGAGAAGTTAGGGCTTGCCAGGTATCAAGTGTGGTGTGGCGAAACTGCAGCCCAAAAAAGAGATTTGTCTCTTGAAGAATAGGAATGGACAATAACTCGATACTTGAAGGAAGAAATGATATCGAAAGGATGGAAACGAGAGGAACGGCGTCTGGCCACTGAGCAAGTGTCTACAAGGTCGTAGGAAGTGGATAAAGCAATGAAGACAAGATAGAAAGACAGGATCCACAGGATCAAGATCACAAAGGAATGGAAGGGCATTCAATGCCACTGTATGTAACATTTAGCATCAGCTCTATCCAAGTGCATTGCGTTAGAATAGCCTACCGTTCAAAAAGGGGAGAAAACGAGAGGAACGAATCGCTAGTATCAAACTGGCGTTCAAGGCTAGGCGGATTAGACACCAATCTTTAGCATGCCTGAGTAGACTTACAAATTCAAAAGGGGAGAGCCTCAAGCCCTTTAGGAGTAGGGGGGAAAGGAGAGAAGGAAAGGCATAAAACCTGACAGGCTTAACGCCAGGACTAACACGATCCCCGACATAGTCCACTCTCAAACGGGAAATAGATTAATACTAAACCTCAACCGCGGACTATTAATTTCTTTGGATTGCCTCTAGTCCTGTAATCTACGAACTGCTCCGTACTAGGACTTTATATCCGAATCCGAATATATTCCGTGCTTCATATACTTCAACTCTCCTTCTGATGAGTATCGGATCTACTCCGTACATAGTATACCAATATGTTGGCTTTTCAACATACATAGTACCATTATTTATTTATTTAAAAAAAGAAGAGAAAAAAAGGGAATGAAAGGTCAATTGGGACGGAGTAAACATGAGACTTAGTCGAGAGATGCGACACTCTGATTCGCTTAATCTGGTCTGGTTGGAGTTAGTCTCGGACGCTAACGTCTCACATTAAGACTCCCTTTGAGAATTTGAAACTTGAGATGGTCAGAGAATAATGAAATTCATACATTGCATATTGTATGTTTTACACACTTTGTACTTTGTAAATGGAAAATCTAAAGACATTGAAGTGGAAAAGGTAAAACTTAGAGTATGTTGTAAGAGATTTTGATCTAACTCGGCTTTATTGTATAAAGTACGGAGTATATAGACTAGGTTGTGCACTGAAACATCTTTAAGCCTATTTGGTACTAGTAATACTATGCCCCTTTAAAACTTCATGATGTATCATACAATTACATAGATGTCTCTCCGCTCTCCAGTCTCTACACATCCACAGTAACTAAACCTGATCCGGGACCTTCGCCCAGCCCCATACATAGTTCGTAAATCATGTGGAGGATACATATATTGTAGCTAATTGTTTTCCGGGTTTGATTTTGAGATGATCCGATGCATTCGCGACTACCAATTTTAAACATATCTGGCCACGCAAGTTGATCTCCTTGGGACCTCAGGAATAAAATGCTGTGTGACTTTTCAACGTCAACGTCAACTTGGCCTTGCAACAGCTGATCAACCATGCAATATCGGACAAGCTCACGGATGATTACAACGTAGTTGCGCCAGAGGATTCAGTTTTAAGCTGAGCCCGTAATTGGATTATCTGCTGTTCCAGGGCTCGCATTTCGACTGTTGTACTAGCCAGATCAGGTACCTGATTGTCTATCGCATTTGCGAAACAGTCTTGGGCTCTGCGTAGTGACTGAGGGACAAGTATTCCATACCAATGAATTGGATCGGCAGAACGAAACTTTTTAGAGCCAGGCTTTGGTTTTTCGATAGGGGGGGTTTCGGTTTCCGCAATGTCAGAGGGTTCTGGGTTAGCCGTCTCGGCTGGGCTAGTTTCCTCGGAGGCCCTAATATGTCCACCTAGGACCGGAGAAGAGGCTTTGGTTTCATTGCTCCCATCGGCTTGCTCTGACGGATAGGTGGGTGTGGATTTGACGGAGAATGTATATGCAGGACCAGATAGCGCAGCGGTATCCTCTTTCTTTTCCTTATCTTGCGAATCATTCGTAGAGTTCTCCGCGTTTTGTTCGAATTGGATTGATCTGTCAATTTCGGCCAGTTAACAAGCGCCGGATACCAATGACAGCGGGTGAAGTTACATCTTTCTCGTTGCTTTCATGCGACTATCGTAATAATCAGGACCATAGCGACGACCAGGAGGACTGGAGAAATTGGCTTGGGCGAGGGCGAAAAATCCCTACTTTGTCTTAGCATGTTTCAAGAACCATGATTTATAAAGTCACACCGACGACAGCTGTTCTGCCAAGCTGGAATGTAGTTTCTGCTGCCGATCAAGCAGTTGCAAGTATTGCTCAAGAAGTATATCCAAACATTGGACCGAATCCTCCAAAGCTACCTGCTTCACCTTCACTTCGGCTGCCGCCGAGTTTGGTCGCGACGCTAGTGACGTGGGCATTTGAGTCATAGAGGAAAAGATCAAAGATCAATGAAGAGGATATACAAGACAAATATCTGCGAGGTCAAGTTGCTTGAATAAATCCAATGCACAAGACTAAGAGATACAGAAGAAATACGGAGCTGGAAAGGAGCTCGGCCCCGGTAACTCCGTCATTCGTCTCCGACCGCAAAAGAATTTCCCACTTTGCATTTCTTCTTCCCTCTTGCATACTTCAACCAACTGTGTCTCTTCCTTCGTCAGAGACTTTGTTACGAGAAATCAAAACCATCGATTGCTTTGTGGTTTAATTTCCCGGATTTTTGGTTCTTGTAAGATCGAACCGCCATTGAACCGCCACCTTCGATTGCGTCTGTGATACGAGTCATTGCGCCCAACGTACGTGAACTACATTCCAATACCCCTTGAATACTGCAATATGAACCATCTCTCTAAACTATCGATTCTCAGGACAACTGTTTGCTGCTGCGACACCGTGTCGACCGCACGACCAACGCTTCAGTGATAACCTGGGGGTTGGCCAAGCAAACATCTTGCGTCACTCGCCTTCGGTTTTCTGACTCTTATCGCCATCTGGACCCTTTCCATACTTTTATCACAGCCTCATCTATCATGTCTGTTGCACCCTTGCATCGTGAGACTGCCTTCCAGGCACGATCTTTGGTATGTCCTCTCAGCTCTCCATGCGCTTCGACCTCGTGCGTTCATCCTTAATACATCACTAACGAGTGTCTTTCTCTTTTGCTTAGTTCCGCTCCCTTATGCGTTATTCTGGACAGTTTTCCAACTACAACTTTCGTGAATACGCTCGCCGGAAGACAAGGGATTCATTCCGCGAGCACCAAAACACCACAGAGGAACGCAGGGTACAAGAACTGATCCAAGAGGGGCTTCAAAGCTTACGCTTGCTGAAGGTCAGTGGTATTGCATGGTCTTTTGGGGTGACACTCGATCGGTAGCAGATATGGGGAATCCCTTTTCAATCTCACGTACTGAACGAGTCTCGCCTTGAAACATTACCCTACAAATCATTGAATCCAAATCTGAGTGATAGGTATACTGACATAACTACAGAGACAAACTGTCATCAGCCAGTTCTTCCAATTGGATAAGTTGGTGGTGGAAGGTCAGAAGACAGTAAGTCCTACCTTGGTTTAGGGCCTTTCTCCATTTAGTACTCAAACTTATATTATTACTTTTGAAGGGAAAGGAAGCTGGGAACCATGGAGGTATTGTTCGCCAGAAGGACACTGGGTAGGTCATTTGATTGAAGCTCCATATCCACTGGTTCTGCGTGTACTAACCTGTAGTAGTTGGGATTGATTTTTAACGGCCGTATGGGAACTTGTAACTATTCCATTGAGTCTGTTTTGATAACTTTCCAATGGTGGACTAATTAAACACCTACTCATTTTCTGTATTTATACACCCAGCGCTGCAGCTGTAGCTATTCTTTTTTTTATCAAGTACCAGAAACACCCCATTCCACTCTTGGATTACAACAAGCATCGCAGTGAATTGAATTGCATTTCTTTCTATCAATTGAGGGATATTGTCACAATATAAATGGCTGCTATAGCAAGATGTCTATGGGCTGTATTGATGTTTAATAAGTATTGATGTATCACGTGATGACTCTTTATGGTCTTGTAGCATCGCAACGCGACGGGGTTGCTACCATCTAACCCATTGCACCACATTCTGCCAAAGAATCCTCCCCGCTAGCACATCACAATCTTCCTGATCGGGTGCACCTGTCTTTGAATCAGTACAGAGGCATCTCCTAACCATGCCTTCCACGGTACGTCTCAACTTGCCCCCGTAGTCATCAATCTTATCTGGCCCGACCTGGTTTCCCAAGACACATGGGTATTCCAGATATACTAGATCTTAAAATGCCTGAAATAGTTGGCTAAAATCTTTCATAGTTCAGAGCTTCGCGCTCAGGGCGACACCTTGACGGTGCCCCGAACCGTACCCGAACCGGCCAAATCGATCACGATGTCTTTGAGGGATTGCCAGTACGTCGCTGGTCCCGACAGCAGCACACCTTATCTCAAGCACCCAAGCCCGATGACTCGGAATTTGGTGTTCAAGGTCTAGGCGGAGGACCAACGCTACCAGAGCTCCCTATGCCAAGAGACAGCCAGCTCTTGCCGCCAATCAGTCGCGCACTCCTGCGGGCAGCCCGTGCCGGATGTATCCATATCCGCCAAGGCAGCCGAGCTGCCGATGATGAGGAGAAAAGCGTGGCAGATGCAGAAGAGTCGGCTTCAGCATCTCATATGGCCGATCGGAGCTTCACAACCCGCAAATGGATGACGCTTCCCAAGCACCTCGAGCCTGCGGAGGTGGAGTTTCTGGCAAAGAGGCGGCCTGGTCTTTCATCTCTTTATGGTGCCACTGCTGGTACAGATGGAGGCTCCGCTTCTGGGCCTATGAGGAGGACGAAATTCCAGAAAGTTGATCCTGAAACAGGCAACATCTCTATCTACGAGGCGTGGGTGCCTGAGGGCCATCGCATTGAGGGAGAGGTTACTGGCGATTTGCAGACGATTGTCGAGCAGAGCCAAGTTCCTGTGAAGCCTGAGGCGCCTGCACCTGGAACAGTCGTCGAGGGGGTCGGTATTGTCAATGCTGAGGGTGTTGTTGTTGCGGAGGCTGGATCAGCAGCTGTAATGACACCCCCAAAGCGACGTCCACCTCCACCTAAACGAAAGGGCAAAGGCATTGGAAAGGGCCGGAAGAAGAAGGTCATGTTTGCGCCTGGCGAAGGAGCTGATGCTGCGACGGTACATGGAGTCGGTCCTGCTACCGGCAGTGGGGAGGGCAGCATCAAGGAAGAAGGCCAGCAGGATGTTTCACACATGTCCATTGACCAGGCTGGCCAAGACGAAGATGATGAAGACGGTGACGACGGCGATGAGAGCGACGACGGTGACGACTCCATGATGGACGCGAAGACTCCTGATACCCCCCAGCCTCTGTCTGGCACAGAGTTCGTGGATCAGCCTTCATTCGAAACTCCCGCTTCGCAATCAGTTGATATCGATATGTCAGATGCCGTTCCTGAGACTCAGCCTTCTGCCCGCGAGATTTCTTTAACCGAAAAGGGGATGCCTTCACAAAACCAGCCGATCGAGTCAAGAGTATCACAGGCTGAAAAGACCCCAGACAGGGAGTTCGGCCCCATAGCTTCGCGTATCGCCTCAGAGAAGGCTGGGGTCAACGATTTGAATGACAAATCTGTCATTTCGGAGTATAACAAGACTCCCACTTCTTCTGCCATAACAGCCGCAACAACAAATGAATTAAGCCAGCTTCCAGCTGCAGTTGGCGAAGCTCAATACTCAGATATCAAGGCGCAGAGGGAAGAGGAAGGTATAGATCCGACGGCTGACCTTGCATCAAGAGAAGGACCTGCTCTCGCAAGCCAGCAGGAAAACGCGACTGCTCTGCCACCTGTCAGCCCCGAAAAATCCTCAGAAACCCCAGTAACACGACCTTCGACCGCACTACAGACACTTGAGCATTCAGAGCCAGAGCAGACCGCGGTATCGACAGATGCCTTGGCAGAGACTCGGGAGCTTCAACGGATTCCAAACGAGCCCATTTCTCATGCCGGCACACAAGAAAAGCTATCGAGAACCATCGAGCGCGAACAACCAATCTCCTCCAACTCTTCTGGGCCCAGTCTACACTCAGACGAAGCAAAAGATGTCGAGATGGGAGATGCCCCAGCACCGGAACAAACCCAAGGACTAGATGTCCAGTCTTCCCCGAACCCAGACTTGCCTGGAGCACCACCAACCGCAGAGAAACCACAGTCCAAGCCCACTCCAGCGGACACTACAGCTGCTCTCGCAGGTCCCGGTCTACTAGAGAAACAAACGCTCGCCGCAGACGAAGGGACAGGAGCAGCAACCGAAGCAAGTGTCCCTACGCAAGGTGTCGTCACCGAAGCAGGGCTACAAGAAGATTCTCGGTCTAGGGAAGCTGAAGCCAATGACGAATTCGAGCAACACGCAGGTCCGATCCCCAAGGCTGGCTCGTCTTAGTCTACATGAACCACATGAGATTTCACTTTTTCTAGCCAACTAATGTACAATGAATGCTATTGGCTTTTTCTGTTGCTCTTTTGGTGGGAGGTTTCGTTATGTTATGTTTGTAAACCAGATGAATGGTTTTTTTGGGATCATAGATCATCGTAGCATATTGTAGAACTACATAGTTTTATTCTTCAATTGGAACTTTTTCTTCGAATTGATACCGTTGACTCGTGCTTTGCCCTATATTTTTTTGTTCAACGGGCAATTATTTTAACGGGTGGTGGTTACGAAGCTACATATATATACATAAGGGAGCAAACTCCCATGTCCACAGCCAAAATGTTATGTTTATCAATTTTAATATTGATTACAAGCAAAGAATAGCAAAGATATTCTCCGAAAGCCGAATATCAATCCTGTGATAAAAGTCCAAGGCAATAATTTATATCACGATTTCATATGGCGTATTTAGAAATGCTGAATACCTAGACAGAAATGTCTTTTTAGTAGCTCAACTACGTTATGCCTACAGAGATGAGAAAGAAGTATCGAGGTTGATTTTGGATATGACACATGTAACCGAAAAGCAAAGGGGAATTTGTTAGACTAAAGAAAATTCAACTCTACACCAATGTTTCTTCAGAGCAAAAGAATCACCAGGCAAGTTGTTCAATATCCTTTGAGATTTTCCATCCATGCGTCTTCGCAACTCTTCTGTACGCCTCCACAGCCTCGCCCACTGAATAATCGGTATTTGCGGAATGTAGATTGAGACGCGCGGGTCTTGGATCTGTGTTGGTAAGAGCCATGCGAACCTGCAACAACACACTCTCAATCGAAGCTGTCGGTAGCCAGCCCGAGTGTGTAAGTAGTTCCATGCACATAGAGCCACCGATGGTAACGTGGCCGCCACCTCCAGCAGCGAACTCGAGAAAACGGGGGCGGATGATCCGTACAAGAGGTGGATCCATGGGGAACTGCGGGGGAAAACGGAGCTCTAAGACAATGCTTTTTTGGTTGATGGTTTCGAGGTCTTTTGTTAGTGGGAGGGCTGGCTCAAACGTGTGTAGCTCCACGATCCACTGGTAAACTGTCGTAATCAAACTGTGGTCGATATACCATCCAAGCTCGTGAAGTGGCACTTGCTCCTGGATTTTTATTGTAGCCTGGAGATGACGCTGTAAGACTTTTGTGGCTGAGGTCGTTGCAAACTGGGGCGGAGAAAGTGGAGGCAAAGAGTTGCACTGTAGGGTTCCAGGTTGGAAATTAGTCTCGAGGCCAGTTTCTGGGACGGCTCTTTCTTGCATAATGGGATCTGGAAGAGTTCCGCACATTTCATCGTCGGATAGAAGAATGCTGAGATCCTCCATGGTCGTCTCAATGCTGACATTGTCGTCATTGTCATATTGTTCAGTATTTTCGACTGAATACTTGCGTCTCTTGATGCGTAGCTTAGGTGACGGTGTAAGCTCTGTAAGCCCTGTTTCTCTAGCGGTACGAATAATTTTCTCCCGTTGGCCGCTAAATATCGAAATGGGAATTTTGATCGGCTGTCCGCTGGGACCAAGAGCCGGATAACGCTCATCTTGTTTGTACATAAGGCTTTCATCATGATCGTAAAACGGTGGCTGGGCTTTTGAGCTCGTTGACATACTCCCATACGCAGATCCACCTATTCTCCCTGCCATACCAGGGACGTTGAAATCTTGAAATTTGACAAAAAGATACCTTGGCTGGATCCAATCCAAGTGTTGCACAACGTAGTGTGGGCTGCGGCTCACAAACTTCCGGGGGGCATTGACGACCTCGTTCAGAGAAATCACTGTCGAGAGTTTCAGTCGACTCTCTGGCCACGTAGGCGGAAAATTCGTAGTAGTGTATCCCAATGAGGTATGGAAGTTGTTTGACATGTAAACACCATGACCACAGGCACGGCCATGGATAATTTGCTTGAAGTGAAAACCCTCGCGTAGAATACTATGCCAATTATTCACAGGGCTGCCATGCCAAGCGAATATAGTAGGGTGATTGGGATTCTCGGCCAACGAATTGGAGTTAACCGCGTTGATAAATCGTTGCTCTTTGTCAGCAGCACCTTGAACAAGTCTGAATTGGATGTAGTTACTCATTCCAACTATCTGATGCCGAGGCTCATCGTCATCTTGCTTGATAAGAGATCGATTTGAGGCAACAACCCAGCGTAAAAGATCCAACCCAGCGGGAGGTATGACGTTTTTCCATGACGAAAGAAGCTTGCCCTTTTCGTGACTTCCGATGAACATCTTCATTTCCTCGATACGAGGGAGCATGCCCAATAGACAAGAAATCATCCGCGTTTTTTGTAAGGGTGTTAAATCGTCCAGATCGGTGTCATAAACAATAATGCACACATCCTGGGGGGGAACCCGCAGGTCTCGTGGCTGCAGTTGATGACCCTTCCTAATTGGAAGTGAAATGAGAACATGGTTCGAGGTCTCACCGACCTGCTCAACACGACAATGCCATTCTTCTGTTCCTACGGTCGTAAAAATGAGGACAATCCAATCACCAACTTTGACCGCAGTTGGCTGATTTAACCGAATTTCAAGATTGGCTGCATTCAATTGCGCAGTATGATATGCAGTACTACTTGCAGCTGTTGTAGGGAACAATTTTTCGGGAACACGCAATCGAAGACCAGTCGGGAGGTCTTCAAGGAGCCCCGCTGAGGCCCTCGCGTATGCCAGGCTGGTCAGCAAGTCAACAACAAAGGGTTGGGAGCGGATCTCATGTTCAAGGCTTGGGCCCAGACCCAGCGACATGTATTGATACAGGCACAGCGCGTTGGAGCAGACATACGGCTTCAGTGCCTCGAAGGTATCACCAGTCTTGCAATGACAAACCAAGCAGAACTCTGTGCATTTGATAAAATGCCGCAGAGTAAACTGCATAGCAAGAAGAGGGAAAGACAAATTAGAAATATTGCGATCCAATTCAGTCATATGATCAGCCGTAAGAATATCCGGCGTCGAAGTGGCCCAGGTGTCCGACTGACGGTACTCTTCGGAAGATATCTCGGAGCTAACATAAATCCTACCCTGGTTGGTCTGGAAGAAAAGTTCTGCCCCTGTCCACGAAAACTCATGTTTTAGTCGGAGATTGATGATGCCAAGCAGTCGCTCTCTTAAAAGTAAATTGAGCGATCTTCCAATGAAAAGTGGCCTGACGAGATGACCACACATTGTTTTGTCTGAAGTTGTAATCTTGTCTTTCGCCTGTTGGTCCTGTGGCCCATTTATGGCGTCCATGGCGTGCTGAAAGGATGGCTTGTATGAATTACAGAGGCCAACATGCATCTGAAACTGAGCGTTCTTAGGATCACCTGCTGACTTGATAATTGTTTGGAGATCAAGGTAGGTCGGTCGATAACGGATCAGCAAAACCAGATACTCCGAGGGTCTGATACTCCAGGAATTCATAGCTTCCTCGGAAATTCCAAGCTTATAAATGCGGCAAGATACTGACACAATGATGGTGCCATGCTTCAACCCCAGGTATCCCACCTTGAATCCCGCGTTCTTGACTGCACGAAGGTCACGGCGAATATTTTCTCGTAACTCAGTCTCACTGTGAGTGGATTTGAATATTATGTTTTCATCGGCAGAGTCCCAGTCAGGTTCAGTGTCACTGGCAGCTGACTCATTGTCGTTGAAGTCATGAGTGCCTGGGTCCTCTGCATGAGTGGATGCTGAATCAGGATCAATCATACAGTTGGTGATAATGTTCTCAATTTTGCTCAATAAGTCGTAGATACTCAAGTCATTGAAAAAGGGCACTGCATTTTCCAGGGAGGAGGTGACTGCCTTAGGGCAGTCCTCGGACGATGAGAAGGCCAAAAAGCTATGGCCATTGGGATAATCGTGAGAGTCTGTTTGTACGCCAGCAAAGGATTAGAGCCTTAGAAGATATAATATGAGCCACAGGTGTTTCTTACCAGACACAATGACCTGGAGATCAAGGGTGATGCTTGCCCCAGGCGCTGCGAACGTGAAGCAAATTGATCCATCATACTCCCCTGTTCTGATATCAGAGATACAGGGGAATCGGCCAGGGACCGCTGCATTTGCGAGATCTCGCAAAAAGGCTTTGCGTGGCATGACGTGATTTTACTGTATTGAAAGCTTGAAAATAAGGTGGAAGAAAATAAACAATGAGACGCGAAAGTCAGCGAAGGAGTCAACTCTGGAAGTCAACGAAAGAAACAAGGAAAGAAAAGAAGAAAGAAGGCAGGGAAAGAATGGGGAATACAGATCAGGGAGACAATAGAAAAGGAAAAGAGAAGGAAAATAACAAATGGAAAAGTATCTGGACAACTACGTACATACCAGGCAGCCTCAGGCCCTGGATGTGGGATCGATATGTAGACGGGTAGCCCCACCTTCACTATCTAATCGTTATCTAATCGCGGCGATCAGTCTTGGCATCAGATCCACTATATGTGCATATACAAAAGTACTTCCAGGGTACTACTTGTACATCATGTAGACAGTTATAACTTGAGGTAATATTATAGCCAGGACTTGCAGCAAAAGAAGTGTTATTTTGAGATAATTCTGGTAGATTTTAACGCATAAAAAGACCTAGTTGCTTCCCTCATACCCAAGCGTAAGTTAGAGAAAGGGCTCACTAGTATACTATCTTGTGACCTGAAAAACTCACAAACCATACATAAGCTTAGAACCTGGTCCTTGTAGCTACAATGCTTGGGCAATTTAATAGATGGCAATATATCATCAGGCGAAGCATGACTTTTGTCATGAGAAAGTTTAAAGCAACACTATGGGCTTGAAATTCAATTTTGAAGAAAGAATTCCAAGCTGACGCATATCTGCAAAGGAACTGTGGAATTTTGATGCTATCATCAGCCGACATGTATGCCCATTTCAAAGCAAGTTTTAGAAGCAAGGATACTACATATCCCTTTGCCAATGCAAAACTAGATTTCGAGATGTCCCATATATCATTCTAAACAATGCTATTACAAAACAGATAGATATAAGGATAAAATTGTTAGAACTCCATATTTAGATCAAAGTTTTGAATCGACATATTCGAGCAATGGGTGTGGTCCACGGGTGTTTCCAACTGTGGTGTCTACCCTGCCATGCCAGACCGGCCGAGAAGGGACGAACTTGCTTTTTTTTCGCCAGTAATACCAAGCTTGAATCAGCTGTTAGTATCCATGCAGTTCATAGCCTTTTTAGTATTCATTTGATGTATTCATTTGAAAGAATACCATGTTTACCCTGCTTGGACAACTCAGAGGCAAATCCCGCTGTTGTGGGTTTTGATTCACAGTGAGTAATACGAATACCATAGTCATATTAAACTGATTAAAAATGCCTGTAGTATTTGTAAATATTTGTAAAAGAATACTGTATTTAATTGGCGGGAGATCGGCCTTCAAAGCATTTGCCTCCAAGTTGTCCAAGCAGGGTATTACTCGTGGCGTGCCTACAGTAGCGTCGGCCGAATCGCCTGAAGGTCACGTGATGGAGATAGACAAACAAGACAAACACGCATCAATCACCAAGTACATAGTAAAGGCTTCAATCTCCAACCTTTTTGGTAATTCAATCATGTTGCCTCCTCGAAGCCCCATCAGTCGAATATTGACTCATACTCGAACGACTCAACTACCTCAGATCCCTAGCCCCAACATACATATTCGACCATTCACCCATCGCACACGCCTACTTCTTCTTTCTCCGGCACCAGGTCGCCCTCAGCTGCCCTTCCTATCACCTCTTGCGCCCACCCGTCCACTCTCACCGCTATCAATACATCTTCGCCAGCATTTTGGTCGCTTGATATCTACCGAGAGCCGCGAGCATTACAAGCGAAGGGTATCGCGAGGCGTCAAGATCGCCCTATCAGTGTCTGCCATTCTTGTCTTGTTCTCCGCAATACAGCTCGGCGTCTATCAAGAAGACATCGAGCATTCATGGCCCACTCCACCAGAGTGGTCCTGGAAAAGTCGGTGGTGTCTGCGATCCGCGCAGGCACTACAAAATCCCGAGCAGATTGGTAAGCTGATGACAAATTGGCCCATGGTCGCTGGATATCTTCGTGAGCTGCTGGAGCGGTTGGAGGACCTAGAGGGAGAAGGCAAAGGTCTTATGGAACAAGCTGAAGGTGGATTTCTGGTCGAAGGCGTCGGCCGCACTGGATTCGATGTCTCCGCAAAGAGTGAACCTTGGCGTCGCGGATATTTTCAGGCCCTGATGGGCGCTGCCAAGGCTGCTGAGAACCTCGACGGCTGGCTGACAGATCGCAAGCAGAAGATATCTGCACCTGCGGAATATGTTGTTGGGCCCTCAAATCCTCGGCCAAAGCCCATGCCCGCTGGCCAAAAAAAGATCCCGCAGGAAGAGAACTGTGAGCAGGCATCTCCGTCTCCGGAGCACTTCTACATGAAGCTGTTGACAACCAAGGGCTTTGACACAAGGCAGAAACTTGATGCTGCCTTGGCTTATGCTGATTGGCTTGATTTCAAGGGCTTGGGCCTTACGGCGGGCGATATGTACACGTGGGCCTTTGACATTGCTGCCAGTGGGCTAGAAGGAGATGCAAGCAAGATTGTGGATTTGAAGAACGGCCTTTTGAAGAACCACAGCGGAGACCTTCCTTCAGAGAACATTCTCCGTGTCTCCACGGCCCTTGCCGTCCACAACGCCCGTCAAGGCAATCTTCCAACAGCTTTGTCCCTCTTCACGTCGGTTCTCAAAGCCCGACGCAGCCTCCCTAGGTCATTAGACTCTAATATATCCCCCTATTTCCCGACTCTGCCTACCTCAAACAACGACCCATTCGCTTCCCTCTTCAAAACTCTCAGAAATGTCCTCATCCCCGTGGAGTACCCAAAACCCCTCCCATCAGGCGATGAACCCCCACGCCGTACCACCGCATCCGACTGCGAAGAAGCAGGATTGATGACCTACATAGGCGAGATATTGTACGCCTCCTCATCAAAGGAATCCGGCCTTGCCTGGACGCGTGATGCAGTCGAACTGGCCGAGTCCACGATGCTCGACCTCAGCAATTCAGCCGACCGCGCTGCTCGAACTCGCTGCGCACAGTGCCTGAAGGTTGGGCTAGAGAATTGGAAAACAATGGTCTCTTCCTTTGTTACACATGCTCGACAGGAGGAGCAGGAGAGCAGGGAACAGGCTAAGGGTGCTTGGTTTGGTGGTGAGCGCCGCGCAGAGGCGAAGCGTCTTGATCGTCAACGTTGGGAGGCTGAAGATGCCATTCTAGAGGATCGAATCCGTCGCCTCTTCCCTCTCCTTGAGGTTGAGTCTGGGCTGGATCTCCTCGCTCCAAATAGCTCTTTGTTTGTGTAGTGTTATTATCTACTTGTATACCTGGCCGTTTCGTTTTGTAGGCTTGAGGTTTTAAACAGGTATATATTATATTCGCCACAGCAGTCCATTTTACTGTTCAACCGCAATTCCACGTATATTAAAACCCCTCACGCTATATCAGCCTATAACCCAGAGAGACAAGCAAATCGACTCTGAGAAGTATCGACTACTACTGATACAAGTACGCCTTTCCTATTATTAACTGTGGGCCAACTCGACTACTAGTGTAGTTGTACCACAAAGAGACAAGATATTCTTATTCGGTATGTGGATCTTTGTATAGTCCTTTCTGCGTCCACGGGTGCTTTATGGGCTCAGCCATTCAAAAAGTACCAGACGTTTTTGCTACGTTTTTGCAAAGCTTGACATCCCATTTACTTCATGGCCTGACTTCTAGCTCATTAGATATGTTGCGTGTATCAACCTCATTGTTGAGGCTTTTTATATAGCTTGATGACTGCTACGAATTAGGCTGCAGTAAATAATTTGATCTCCCATGCGCTCTGGTGTATCTTTCTATGGAGTGAAGCACATTATAAGAAATGTATTTTAAACATTCAAAGTACATGATTCTACACCATTCAAAGCACTAGTCGAAAAATGGCCGGTCTTTAAAGATCTTAGTCACAGTATCTACTTATCCGGATGGGCGATTACGATCATCAGCTGATGCAAGCTTGGAAACACATGTGTAGGTTTCGAGACGAGTGGATAAACCAGTGATCCAAAAAGAGACAAAAGAAATAGTAGCAAGAATGAAAGTTGAGTAGTAAATAGTAAGCTTCGCTTCATTCTGTCGGACCTTCAGCTCCCTAAGCTTTTTGACTGTGTTTCAACCCTAGAGCGACAGTGGGGTACATGTACATTAAAAAGCCAGCCCTGGCATGCACTCAATGATTTCCTGGCGGGATTCGAAGGGAGTCTCGAGTATGCGGGAGGATTGAGAGCAAGCTAATTTAGGTGGCCTTGTCCTTGTTGTGGTAGTTGACATCAGAGTTCCAGCTATTCATGAGTTAGTTCTGACTTTCAGTGGGTGACATTGTAGTGAGGGAAGATCAGACAATCCGCTTGGAAGCAGATCATCCAATTAAAAATTGCAGAAACTAGCTGTTCTGCAAGCCAGTGTAAAGTACGTGATGGGCGCGGAAACTCGGAACTCACAAGATGGTCTATTCCAGACATTGATTAGCTCGAGTCTTCAGCACATAGCATAATTGAGTTCACATACCTTATCACCGTCTCCCCAAGGGAAGTTCTTCACGCGGATGTTCTGGTAAGGGTACTCGGTGCGCTCCTCGAGCGGGGGCATGTGCTCCCAGTGCTCCCAGTGCTCGGACCAGAGGTTGTAGGCGTTGAGACCGCCACCAATCAGGCAGGGGATCACGGCACTGTGAAGGAATTAGATTTTTCTCTGCTATTGAGGGCGGAAACATACAAGATGGACAGTTTGCGCCATAGGTCTGTACAATCATCGGGTCAGTAACGGATAGTATCTACAGTCAACGACCATGCGGCAAAAAATTGATTGGGCTCAGTTATGTGGTACATACCACTGGTAGAGGCAGCATGGTGCTTGACGGCAGCTCTCTCGCGGTTGAATTCGTTGTCGACGATCCAAGAAGGCTTGGCCTCGGCGCTGTTGAAACGGCGCTGGATAGTGGAGCGGACCGGAGCGGAACGCATCTGCTGCGAAGCACGCTGGGACAGGCGACCAATATTGCGCTGAGGGAACATGGTGGGTGATGCTCTAAGGAGTTCTTTGGTGGTGGAGGTCAAAAGTGGTGCGATGAGGTCCAAAGCCGCTTTTAGCGCATCCCCGTGATTTCCCGGATTATGTAATGTAAGTAGCCTGATGTCATGAAGCCTAATATACCAGGCAAACACAGGCCCACGCAGGTCACGTGTCTAATTTAGGATATGTATGGACGTCAGGATGCACCCTAGGTATTACCGTATCCGTGACCTAGATTCAACAACTAGAGGAGGGGTCCTGGTCCTTGATTAACTCGGATTTTTTATTTGTAGCATCTCGATCTCTCTCAATCATTTGCATCCTAACAAATACTGCATTGTCCTCTAGTGCACTAGCGTCCAACATGGGATTCCGTATCACCACATGGAATGGTAAGTTATCTGAATTGTCTGTGGCAATGGGAGTGGTAAAATATAACAACGACGCATCACTTTCTAGTTAATGGTATACGGTATGAGAAAACACCGCCAGTTGAACCTGTCCAACACTAATATAGCAATCAGAAACCCGTTCTCCTATGAGCCATGGAGAGGAACGCGCACATTCGAGGTAAGTGTGCATTCTTACATTTCCCGAGTACGCCAAGCTTATTTGGCCCAAAGTCCATGTTTGATATACTGGAGGCGGATATTGTAATTCTCCAAGAAACCAAGATTCAGCGCAAAGACCTACGCGATGACATGGTCTTGGTTTCAGGTTGGGACTGCTATTTTAGTCTTCCTCGAGTCAAAAAAGGCAAGCTATACTCGGATAATGTCTATACAAAACACTAACGGTCTTTAGGATACTCGGGTGTTGTGATTTACACGCGCAATGCCACATGTTCTCCAATAAGGGCAGAAGAGGGCATTACTGGAGTACTTTGCCCACCGAAATCCTCAACATCTTTTTACAGTCTTCCAGAAGATCAGCAAATTGGTGGATATCCAACATCTGGTCAACTTTCCAGGCCCACTATAAAGCCCAAGGGGCCGAACTCGGAAGAGGAGCAAGAGGATTTGAGCTCGGTACCCAATATCAGGATAGATGCACCAACCCTCGACTCCGAAGGACGCTGCGTCATTTTAGAGTTTCCTGCATTTGTCCTCATTGGTGTCTATTGCCCCGCCTATCGAGATGAGAGTCGGGATACCTTCCGGATGGACTTTCTCAATGCCCTAGATTCTCGAATCCGCAACCTGACTGCGATGGGGAAGAAGGTGGTGATCGCTGGGGATATAAATATTTCAAAACAGGGCATTGATGCCGCTCATGGAATCGAGGCCATACGAAAAGGTACGATGACAGAGGAGGAATTTGTATCTAGCCCTTCTCGACGTCTATTCAACCACTTGATATCAGATGGCGTGGTTATTGGCGAACGCGACAAAGGCAGGGAAGATCCTGTCCTTTTCGATGTCTGCAGGTCTTTCAACCCAGATCGTACAGGCATGTATACATGCTGGGATCAAAAGGTCAATGCTCGGCCAGGGAATTACGGCTCAAGGATTGACTATGTGTTGTGCAGCTTGGATATGCAGAACTGGTTCTCTGACTCAAATATTCAAGAGGGATTGATGGTATGGACTTCTCTCGTTTGTGCTGTGGATTATCGATTGACTGCTTTGTAGGGATCGGACCACTGTCCTGTATATGCTGTCATCAAGGAGTCTGTACATCAGCCCGGGGGCGAGGTAAACATACGGGATATTCTCAACCCATTAGGCATGTTTAACTGTGGCAAGCGTCAACAGGAATACTCAAGCGAGTGCACATTGCCCGCTTCAGGGCGTTTGCTCCCCGAATTCGACGTTGACAAGCGCAGAAGCATCAAGGACATGTTCGCTCGTAAACCAACCAGCGTTCCGTCAGAGTCGGTAGAACTAGCCGTTACACTAGACAACATGCCTACGACTCAAACCATAGAATCCACAGTTATGCACACACCCTTGAAATCCACTGACTCGGCCAAAAAGATTTCTACGCCTATCACTGAGAGAAATCAACACGCTCAGACTGTTTCTCGCAAACGCCCACAGCCCCTACACACTAAATCCGCGAAACGCTCCAAGTCCACTGTATCGACGCCTTCCGAGGTCTCTGTGACAGGCCAAAGAACATTGATGGGCTTCTTCAAGCCAAAAACGCTCAATGTATATGAAGCTACTCAGTCATCCATGGCTTTCTCAGGCTCCTTGACATCATCACTCAACGACAGACTATCAGAAATATCACAAGAGAAACGGGAAGCTCCAGTAATCAATTCGCAGCCTCCAGGGTCCCAAGAAGACACCATAAGAAAGGAAGCTGACACTTCTACCGAATGTCCGACGGCCAGCAAGCTCATTGACGACATAACAATTGACCCGATTGTCAGCAAGGAGGATTGGTCAAAGCTTTTTACCAAAAAACCCGTTCCACGGTGTGATGGACACCAAGAGCCGTGCATCAGCTTGACCACGAAGAAACCTGGAATGAATCGCGGCCGCTCCTTTTGGATTTGTCCTCGGCCATTGGGGCCTAGCGGAGAAAAGGAAAAGGGTACGCAATGGCGGTGTCCCACATTCATCTGGGCCAGTGACTGGAACTCACCATTTGCAACGCAAGATCAATAAATCCATGTCCTAGGAAGGGAATATCCCTCGGTAATCAACAAACATGCTGAATATTTCATAGCTGGATATCGATTTTTGATTGCTATAGCTGATATGTATACGCTCATTATAGAGTCAACAGGGTTACTGGATACTGAAAGCTCTGGACAGCTCATGGGCGTACGCATATATGACTATGTCGTAGCTTCCCAAGGTCTCCTCTTGTCCCAACAAAATACGTCTGCCAACAACTCGTACAAGACACTTGGCAATTCAATTTGAGAGGATGCAATGCACCGAAATAGCATGTAATGGACAGTTAATATCAAGAAAGTTTAATGAAGACTTCTAGGTCCTGACACCATGGCTGCCTTGGGTGAACCGTTTGCGGTTTGCGGTTTGCGGTTTGCCATTCCACCCTGGTTGTATTTTCTGATTAGCTATCGGTCTCTATTGTCTCTATTGTCTCTATTGTCTCTATTGTCTCTATTGTCTTGGTTTCTTTTTATTCATTGACCCAAGCTTTGATTGGGTGCCTGCTTCTTTGTTTAATTTCTTTGTTTAATTTGCCCATATGCCATATGATTGTTTGCATACTTTGTTTGCCTTTTTTTTGCTATAGGAACATGAATTTTAAAGTAAAGATACACCTTGGGTAGATACCTTATTGACACTCTGGTAAATGGAATTGGATACTTGGGCTTCCTCCCATATCAATCATATATATAGTTTTGATAATTATTTCACAAAACTAAGATTCTCTATATATATAAAAAAAAAACCGGCTTAGTACATGCTTTAAGCTAGGTATGTATATACCATGTATTTTGTGCAAATTAATTTTGTTATATTTTAAGGTTTAAGTAGCTGCGGGCACTAGCCCCCGGATCTACAGTGCCACGTGGAGAAATTGGGAAGATCCACTAACCCGTTGCCTATGTACATATGTACATAGATACCTAAGGTATCTAGGTACATACATGCATATGTTGTAGCACAGAGCTAGCACGGATAGAAATCATATATTAAAAATCTATCATGATATATAAAATATTATATTAATCATTAAACATGGAAGCAATGTGTTCACTAAGCAATACGATCCGTATGGCCAAAGGTATCTAACATGTACGACCTGGTTATCAAAATAGTACTTGATGTCAATGTGACTTTTTGCCTAGTCTTATCCCTCTATAATTAACTTTCTTTGTTCTACTGGTACTATTCCCTATAAAGAAGTCTCTCCTGGGATAAGACCTTGTGATTGGTGTTGCTGCGCAAACAAAGAAATCACCTACTTCCTCACCCACCTCGTCCCCTACCTCGTCTGCCATCAATTTACGGCCAGTATTTATGTTTACTTTCCCCCTCGTTTATTCTTTTCCTCCTTCTTCTCTCTTCTCTCTCTACCTCATTTTCTTTTTTTCCCCTTTCACCAACACCTAAGATCCCAACTCTTTATCTCTTCACTTATTCTCTTTACTTTGAACATTTACTTGCATTGCTCAACATGTCTACTGCTCGTGGTGTTCCAATTCCCCCGGGATACGGTCCTGCTCACCTTGAGATGCTTTTGTTTCGGTACATTGAAACCTTGCCCTTCCAGCATGCCCTTAGGGTCCTGGGACGTTGGCCAGAGGATTCTCCTGTGGGACAGTATGCACACAGCATCCTACGTGAGCTTCCTGCAAACTACTTCCAGCAGCCCCGACTCTTGCCTACCGGACCGCGCTTTGTTTATGCAAATGGCGTGCTGGAGCTAAAGCGTATCGACCAAGCTCTTCCTATGCAGGAACTCCACCCCGACTCTACTACCGGATGCGTTGGAGAAGTGATGCAGGATGTGCTCCCGTCCCCATTGGAGCAACGTCGCCTGCGTCCGCTTAATTCTTTTATGATCTTCCGCAGTAAGTAGCATCTTTCTTGTTATCAATTCACTTCTGACAGTGTTATAGGTTTTTGCGCTCCAATGTTCCCTGGGGTCCCTCAGAAGGTAAAGTCGGTTGCCATCAGTGAATTGTGGCAAGACGACACCTTGAAGCCTCACTGGACTGTCCTCGCCAAGGCCTACACCATTATCCGTGATCATTTCAATGTCGACACTCCTTCGCTCCCTGAGTTCGTTGAGCTTTGCCTGCCTTTGATTGGGATTGTGTCTGCCAATAACTATCTCGCCCTGGCTGGCTGGAATGTGCAGCCCCATGGACATGACGGCCTCGCTTTGCAGAAGATCGCCGTGTCATGTTTGGCTAACTTCAACCCTCCCATTATCTCTGTTCATGAAGTCGTGCAGCACTGCATCGACAACAACTACGCTCAAGTGCGTGATGAGGAATGGAATAAGCACATCCTCTCAAATGGAGATGTGTTCGCGGTGGAGCCAGCCTTTGAGGGCACAATCCATGAGCCTCAGAACTGGGTATTTGACAACGTTCCTCAGTGGCCAATTGAAGAGTTTGAGGTTGAAGAAATGTACTCTTCTCTTGACACCGAGTGCGACCATGGACTTCCTATCATCTATGACCCAGAAAACGTCGACTCTTTCACTACTACTATGGCCAGCCTGGGTGAACTCTACACATAGAGTTCTCCAGTGTCTGCTCCCTATGGATTCTTCTCGATTCGGTTCAGCGATACCTGACGTGGCCTGGTCAACAATTTTACTACGTCTTTTACCTCCTTTCGCGAACCGGTTGCCCATGAGGATACAACTATCATTTTCACCAATCAGATGGACATTTTTCTTTTCGACTACAGCTCAGAACGATGCCCCCAAAAAAAACTTGAAAACAAAAAACTTCAAAAAAAAAAAGTTCATTTCGATCGAGGATTTCCTGCATTTCCTCGATATCTTTCCATTGCGAGTCTGTCGCAAGATTCTCCTGTATTACTAGCTACTTCTCCGCCGATTTGTTTCGGTCTTCAATTCTTCCGTATGGGCTCATGATAAGTTCTCAGGAACTGGGCTGACTGGCTTTCTTTCCCGCGGGGTTTTCCAGTCGCTCTTTTCCTGCCATTTGAGTCTTTTTTTAATGTATTTTAAATAGCAATTCAATTCAATTGATTTTGCGCCAACTGCTTTCTCTTTTGTAACATGTAAATTAAATGGAGATCTAGAAACGCAGTTCAAGGATACGGTCGCATCTTTTTGCATTGTGGGTTTTCAGTAAAATATTTCGACAGCCAACCATTGCATGAAATCCCACGTTTTCTGGATTACGAACGAGACAAGCCCATTACCTCGCTCAGGGCCTCTTTGGGTCTAATTTTTGCCTTTTGCTTTGATCTCGAAGCTCCGATAACACAGTGAAGCCCATACACTTGATTCTTTGTCTCCATGCATGAGGTGACGTCTCGATAGTCTTTGTTGACATGCTGCCGCTAATAAACTCCACCCACGGGTCGGCATGCACTAACACCCACCTGGGCATGGCTCCATCAATCGAGTATGGAGACAAGGCTTGGCATGCAGCGTTAAACAGGGGACACGCAGGAGGCGAAACGTGCATGTCCGATTATGCAACCTTGCGACCGTACGCCGTGAGCTCTACAAGGTTGTCTACTGGGATCATAATATGGGCACGGGGATTCAGGAGAGCAGATTCATGTGCTACAATAATCCAGAGAACTGGGTGAGTTGCTTGGATTCGCTATGGGAAATCAAAACAAGAGACTAACTAACTACGGGGTCTGGGGAGAAGAGCCCATCGAAGAGCGAAAAGTGCGACACGGACAAAACAAAACTCCTCGAAATTGAGATGCAGAATATACACATACAGCCAAGAACGAAAGACACATGGGATGGTTTCCCTAATCCTCCTGGTAGGAGATCTTGCGCATTTCGCCCAGACGCTGGCGTGCGCGAGCGAGACCGTTCTCAAGTTGGAGGATTTCAACCTGTTGGGAGGAGACATATCAGCATTGGACAAAGGGAATACAAGGGGGAAGGGGACGTCACATACCTGCTGCTCCATTTCGCGGACCTTGAACTCATGCGAGCTCAACTTTCCATAATCCTCTCCATCGTCGCCGTCGCGGTTCTTCTCCTTGATGATGTCCTGCACCTGTCGTACGAGGGCACGGCAAGCGGCACCAACAGCCTTGCTGGCGGTCTCCAGGCGGTCCTGGGTCTTGCTCATGAACGTTGCCTTGACACGACTAGCCGCGACAAGCTGGGCAGTACTAGCTGCAACATCGTTGGAGGCGACGATGAGTTGCTCTGGCGAGTTACGGCCTGAGATTACACCGTCGGCAGTCTCAATCAATGTGTTTGTCGAAGAGGCCACTGCTTTGGCGGCAGAGATCAAGCCCTCCGTCCAACGGTTGTTCTTCTTGTAGAATGCAGTGCGAGATGAGCTTCCGCGGCCTTCGCGAACGATCTCCTGCTGGGTCTCTGTGGCAGCCTTGATCAGTTCCGAGATTGCGTTGGTGACGGCGATGGCGGCAGCAAGGATGACATCGTTGATGCGCAGCTCGTAGGTTGAGTATCCATCACGGGGCTTGTTCTTGAGTTTGGCCAGACGCTGAGCAGCTGCGTCAATGGCATCGGCGGCCTTGAGCAGTTCCTGGTCGACAAGGTCACCCAGATCACCACTGGTGCTGATTTTAGTATTCCTGGGAGCGAATGAATCAACCAGCTTGGATAGCGACTGCAGATCACGCTGGACCTCGAGGTTATTATTGATAACCACATCAGTCTTCTGTAGTGGTTCCAGACCTTCGAGACGGAACGACTGCAGGCCACGGAAGAACCGCACGGTCGCCTGAGCAGCCTTGCGAGCCGCATTGACTAGGTGATCGGAGCTCTTATCGTCATTGGCGAAGCGGATGAGGCCCTTGGTGTTGCTCAACACATCCGAGACAGATCCAGAGAAGATGGACACTGTGCGGATAATCTCAGCATGGGGACTGTTGGGGCCATCGGCGATAAAGTTGTTGAAAGCTGTTGAGAACTCAGTGGCAGAAGCCGAGGCCTTTTCAATCTGCGAAAGAACATATGGAGGAGAGGCATTTTGGTTACCGGCCTGCATGGACGAGTCCAGTTCATACAGAGCATCGTCGACACGCTGCACACCAGTCTGCAGCACGGAGTCAATAATATCGTTTATCTTCGCGACTGCGCCGTGAAGCACGGTATCAATCTGGCTATCTAGCGCATGGTCGACATCGCCTTGGCTCTACATTGAAACATGGTCAGTATGCAGGCATCGAATGTTGTCAAGATCACCACTTACCAGTCTCAGCTCTTCCAGTTCCATAAGAGCCTGTTCCATACCAGACTTGTACACCTCAATCTCCTCGTCCTTCTCACGAAGAGACAGGTCGAGGTCTTCTTGGCGATCGTTGTTGCGACTGGAATGTTCGTCCAACGCACGCGTTTTAATCTACCAGGTCAGCATAAATCGCAGACCTAAGCAGGATGAACAGCTACTCACTCGAAGGGACTCTTCCAGGTCAGCCATCTCACGATTATACTTGGACAGCAAGGACGATATCTCGGTGCCCTTTGAGCGTTCTGCGTTTTCAGCACGCTCAAGAGCCATGCGAAGCTCGCGCTTGACCTTCTCTAATTCATCCTTGTTGGTTCCTGTCAGACGGTCCCGGTCATGCAGAGCACGGTCACGTTCCCGAATCATGTCGGCCATCTCCAGGTTCTTGGTCTTCAGCTCGCGCTCCAGCTTCTCTCGTCGGTCAATTGCCTCTTGTGCAGAAGCTGCCTTAAGCTTGAGGCTCTTTGTGGTCTGCAGAAGATCGAGGTGCTCTTGTCGAAGCTGGGAGTACAACTTCGCCAATGCCTCGTATTTGGATCGCCAGGTGTTCACCTGCTCCTGCAGGGATCGTATCTGATCGTCCTTCGAGGCATTCTGCAAGTTCAGATTTGAGTTCAGGTGGTTCATCTGCTCCTCAACCTCTTTAACACGGCGGTCATATTGTTGTAGCATCAGTTGGTCGCGCTCATACTGCGCACGGGCGTTAAGGTTCTCCTGCTCCAGTTCTGCTAGTCGACCTTGTGTCTGTGTCTGGTACTGGTCGCGGAGAAGCTGCTCCTGTGCCAATCGCTGCTGTTCCGCCTGCATACGTTGCTGCTCCTCGAAATCGTTCTGGGCTTGCTGTTGAGCGAGGACTTGTTGGCGTTGCTGGTCCTCCCATTGTTGCTGCAAGCGTTGTTGCTCCGCCTCGTACTCTTCTTGTTGGCGTTTAGCTTCGTTTGTCCAGAAATCATTGATCGGCTCTGGTTCAGCAGCGACCTTTGGCGGCGGCGAGGGCTGATGTTCCACTTCTTTCGCTGGCCGCCTGGGAAGAGCTGGGCGATCGTCATCTTCGGCAAGCAAACTTGGTGGGTCTTGTGGCAACTTCGGGATGGTGATGAGACCCGTTAGGTAGCGCAGGTTGGAGCACTCATAGTAGAACCGAACAAGGCGATGGTGTTGGGCATCATATCGGCCTCGGAGTGGCTCCAGAGCTTCATCCTCTCCGGTGGCTACAGGAAAAATCAGTCAGCGGCTATCGAACCCGAACTCAAGGGCCAAGACAACATACTTGTGTGCATGGCTCGCAGCATGCTGGTGATAAACTTGTAGATGCCATAACTCTCCTGCACAAGTGGCACCAATGCCGAGATTCGACATTCATTGTTGGTGCCGGACTGGAAGTTCGAGAAGATGAGCTTTTGGAAAGAATCAATTTGATCTTGCAGAGCCATCAAATCGGTAATGGTCTCATAACTGTGTGACTGTCAACATCTCTGTCCGTTGTCGTTGTCGTAAAGACCAGGTATGTACTCACCCTTCGTTCGGATCGTTGATCGACTTCAAACTAATGTACTCCTCATACTCGAACAAGCCTACGACTGTCAGAGACACCCGCCCGTCACAGAACTACTCAACCGCGGACGACTTACCGTTGAATTCAGGGTGGTTGCGGTGAAAGTTCAGTTTCGCTTCGAGGAAGAAGACATACTCCCGAATGAGCGGCGCATATCCTATCCAGAACTGTCATTATACCGTCCATCGCATGCGTCGCCACTCCTCGAGCAGAGAGCAATTACTCAGTCGGCCTGCGTGGAATCCATACCTCGAACGCCGTCGCCTCCGACTCCTCGCATCAAGCTATCAATCCAGTTGGAATGCTGCTGTGCCTCGCGGACAACCGTGGGGTGGCCCTCCTGAAGAACCTTATGTATTGTGATCAGAGCCTTGAACGTCTGGACCTCATCGGCGAGGACGGGTTGCCTGTGAAGGGTTGTGTCAGCCATCTTGAGAATAACAGCCCATTTGAATGCCTGCCGAATATCTCTAAACGTACACTTTCATGCCAGCCCAGAAAGCCGCGGATGACTTGTGGTCCCACGTATAGACAATGCAGCTCCGCACATGCTTCCCTACAGGCGCGGGGATGGTCAGTTCAATTCGGACGGGGCAAAGCCGAAGTAGCATCAATCCGTTTGATGGAGGGCAAGGAAATATGATCAGTACATACGTTTAGGAGCCGTTTCCTCTGTTTGTTGTCAAATTGTCAGCTCATCATGTCCGCTCTCCCAGGTCGGCCTCATGCCCGATCCATGACTTACCGATACTAGTAGCCTTGCGGATATTGATGGCCAAATCGGCCTCGGTCCTGCGAATCCCTTATCAGACAAGCACTCGCAAAATTCAATGTTGATCTTGCTTACCGACTCATCGTGGCCGTTGGGGTGTGTGCTCAGGGGTGGGGGCAGTGGATGAATGTCGGAAAGGTTTGTCGCGTTGGCAGATTTCAAGCCCGGACAGCGCACAGATGCTAGAGATAGGTTGCGCTGACCGGAATAAGCGGATAATTCAAATTGCAAAGCAAAAGGGAATTGGTGAAGCACCAAAAGAGACACACGTGGGAGTTTGAGCAATGACGTTGATAGGGAACGGGAAAGCTGGCGCCTGTCGAGAGTCTTGGCGACACCTAAACCGATGTGGGTTTGGGCCACGGCTGTGAATTTATTAAGGATTTCCAAGTTTATCACTTGTGAAAACTATCACAGTCTACGCGTCAAACATATGATGTACACAGTGCAGGCCAGGCAACAAGAATACATGAGGTATTCGTCTGCACCAACATATGCTACAGTTTGGTTAGTCTACTGCGAAAGAACTTATGGTCAAGATGGATATATTGAATATCACAGGATTGGCTACAAACATAAAGAAGTCACATAGGGATTTGGAAAACTATGTGCGAGAGAGAGAGAGAGAGAGAGCAATTGCATGCAGGAATAACCAGCCCTACTTGGAGACTTGTCCAGCACAGCAATAGACCAAGGAATCAAAAAGTACAGCCATCTAATTCGATAGTTGCATGGATCTATGTGAACTAAAGGTCCGAGGTGGCCATTCCTTCCCCTCTTTTGTGTCGGGGTGAAGGTAACTAGCATTATGATGAAGGTACTTCCACCCTTCCAGTAGATGGCAAGGCTTCATGACTGCTTGAGGTTGGAGAGGGCACCTGATGAACAGAGCGCCGCAATTCAATAACAGGCAACTCTTCTTGTTCTTCGGAATCAGCCTCAAGCTGTTCAGCCTTTGATGATTCCTCACTCTCAACAGGAATCGGGGCTATTAGACCAGAGTCTGATTCTAAGTCCCCCGGGGCCGGGCTATTTGGCTCAGATTCTTGAGGTGCCTCCACCACGAGCAGTTCGTCAGTGCCTTGGTCAATACGCACTTCAGGGGCCATTGGTTTCCTGCGAGGTAAAGGTGATGGCGGGGGCTGTTGATTTCCCGTCTTCGAACGTTCAGGCACTGTATGTGCTGCCACAGGTTTACGCTTGGGCAATGTTCCTGCGCTCCTCTTCAAGGCATATTTGTCTGGGCGTGGCAAGGGTGTTCCAGGTAGTGGATGAGGATGACCACGCCCAATGGGTTGGTTAAGCGTAGCCGGAGGAACCCGCGACGACTCTTGGCCGTTGTTTGGGTCCCCTTTACCAAACACGCTCCAGCTCCATTTCTTGGCGGCAGCAGTAGCTTGCCCGAGACTCATGGGACCGGAAGACCTATCGTCGGAAGATGTAAAGGTTTTGGTGATGGTTTCAATTGTGCTGCGTCGTCGACCGGTGTCGCTGACAACGGACGTGGTGGAACTACCCCGAGAGTTTCTCAAGCCGGAGAAGGACCCGCTCTCCATACGAGTAGAAGAAGGCCTTTGAATAAGACTTTCGTGGGCAAAGCTAGCGCTATCAATAGAATCTACAACCGACGACTCGCGGCTATGCACCGCATTTTCTGGCATCATAAGGCCACCTGTGGGTGGCGAGGTGCTTGGAGTTCGGCGCGGGGATGTAGGTGGGGACCGGCTTGATATCTCTATCATGGCGCTTGTTGCATGACTCTTTTCTTCGCCTTTGTTCTCTGGAACAAGCTTGTCAACCTTGGCATTGTCCGCTGTAACCACAGGATCTGCAGCGTGAGTGAAGGTCTGTGACCGAATAGCTCGAGGCAGTTGTATGCTGTCCAACTTCTCAACACCGGTGGAAATTGCAGTGGAACTATCCGACTGCAAATCCGAGAGTGAAGATTTGACGCCTTTGCGCGGCTTTTTCTTGACCGTTCCGGGCTCGGAAAGGACAGGCATACTCGTCGTGCGATCATCCTTGGACTTGAGGACTTCAATGGGATCAATAGGAACGCTCTTCGGAGTCGGAGGAGCTTCACCGGATTCATCGGGTATCTCTGGTATCTCTACCTGAGCACTCGATACTGGAGTTTCTCGCTGCCAGATACCACCGCGGAAATCCTGGCCGAAGGTATTATGGAAAGGAACGTCGTCCCAGAAAGGCAGAACGATGCTCTCTGCCAATACTTCGCGGATCTTGCTCTCGATCGTACGCAGTATGAGGCTGTATGTGATTTGTTTGGAGCTGACAATGGGTTGGATATCCATTTCCATCTTCGGCGTGGTTTCGAAAGACATCCAGACGCGATTGCTGGGTGGGGGCTTGAAGCGTACCAACAAATGTCCTTCAAGTTTCTTCAGCACAACGGCAAGAACAATGTCGACCTCTCTGGCCTTGAACCGAGGGCCCAAGTCAATGCGCACAGTCGCCGATATCTCGACCCGGAAGTTTCCAGTGTATTGAATATCGGCCTCCACACAACAATTGCCGTCCACCGTCAAGTCCTTCAGTCTTGGGTTGGTGATAAACGGAGCCCCTTCGCCCATATCAATTCTTTGTAAGCCGATCTTGCTAATGAAATTGGGTTTGTTGACGCGAGAGATCTTCTTGACGATCTTGCTTCGCACGAATTCCTCCAACTCTGGTGTCCGATACAGCGCTAGAAACCACCTTCCAAGGAAAGCATTGATCCAACGTGTCTGCAACTGCTCTTCGGAGGAATGCAGGCGCTGAACCAATGTGACAATATGCGTGGTATCAAACTCCTGAGGCTTCGGCGGGCGATCAGACGAGTCCCACAGCCGGTTTTGATTCTGTAGCATGGCGATATAGAAATCCTCCTTCTCAGACAAGTTTTCAGAGAAGAGATAAAACGGCGGAGTCGGCCCTCCTAGATCCCCAAGCGAAGCCAGTCGCCGTGAGAGGCAAATGGCGTTTCTTTTGAGCCACAGCTCTCCTTCTGGGATATCCCCTTCTCCGCCATATATAGTCACATCATGGTGAGCAAGCGAAATGACATACCGCACCTCGACCTGATTTACATCATCGTAAAGCATCAAGTGGCCATGTCTGAGAAGATATCATCCAACGTCAGCAATAAGCGCTTGAGTAATAACCTACACATCCAGACGAAGAGACGCATACCGGAGAACAATGTAGAAGACATTCCGCGCCCGCTTGGTGGCCTTTCCATTCGCCTTCGCCGGATCGATACTGGGTGTTTGCTTTCGATCGAAGAGACTCCGGTACATACTCTGGTACACGCTAGGACTTTCGGCCGCAACGACTTCTCCTGCGGGAGTCGTTCTCTCGGGGGTTTCCCATTCACACCACCAGGAACATATTCACGACAGACAGCGAAGTATCCAGCAGCAACATCTGACTCGTGGGTACGATGGAACTTTTCCGCCAGCTGGTCGGTGCCAGACTTGAGACTGAAGTCGTCATCGGTAGGTTGGCGGACGGGGTCGGGCGCTTTCTCGCATGATTGAGGCAGTTGAGGCGCAAATGGAAGGGTTAGGTAGGCATAGAGGAGGATCAAGGACAAAAGTAGTGGAATGAAAGTGATCCCACCTAGGGCATAAACGAAGAGGAAGCTAGCGAGCGAACCCATCGGGAACCAGTCAATCAATGCGGGAGGATCGAAAGCTCCATAGTTTGGGAGAGCGACCTCCAGCAGTTGAGAAATGATGGAAGGAAAGAGACCGGCTCCAGAATAAAACGAGCGAGAGGGATAAAGGGTTTATAGCGCGCAAGAGAGTTGCAGGGTGTTGCAGGTTGTTGCAGCTTCCACAGACACGACGGGATGACGAAGGTGCTAGGTACCTCAGATTCCATGTAATGTATTTGTATTTCATCATAATTACTTGTTTGAGTAGAGTAATATTGTATTTATACTGTATTTTAAGAACTTACACGCCCATTACGTGTAGATCTATTCGTACCCCCGCCCTGATCCGACCAGCTGTCAGGAACCTGAAAGGAATCTTGGAAATGCAACCACTTTATCTGTTACTGTTTTAGTCAATTCAATATAGTATATGTATATACATATTTAGAATATACATATAGAGGTGCTTTATCCCAAGCTGGATATTGAAGATTTGAATTTAGCAAAATAATCGATTACATATTCTCCCATGTAGTGCAAAGCTGACTTTTAGGACCCACTGATCTGACACCAAAGCCTGTGATAAAAGAGCTTTATACATATGTATATATGTAGAACAAGAACCAGGGTATACAACATAATGCGAGAAGAGAAGAAAATCTTTCTATTGGTGAAGATCAAAGTATATATCCAACCATCTAAGTGTACACAGGCATATAGAAAGAAAGGAAAAAAAAAAAGACAGTCACCTGAAGAAACAACAAGGGATGGGCAAGCTGAAAGACAAATATGTGTACATGGGAGTGCAACCTCCTCTACTTCCTGCGTTTCATGGTCTTCTCGCACATCTCAATCAGACCGGTCTTAGCATCACTATCCGGGAAGTCACTGATGGCAGCAATAGCCTTGTCAGCGTATTCCTGGGCTAGAGCACGGGTCTGCTCAACACCATTGCTGCTGTAAACGAGCTCACGAGCCTAGTAGAATAAAAATAATTAGTATTATCGTACCAAGCAAGACCACGTGCGATTTTGACCACTCACCCGTTGTACATCACCCTCCTCGCGGAACTTCCGTCCGACCAAAGGACCGAGCTCCGGGTTGCTCTTCCACGCAAACAATAGTGGCGCAGTTGCCAATCCAAGCTCCAAGTCTGCACCAACAGGCTTGCCCATCTCCGCCTCAGTGACCGTGTAATCCAACATATCATCAACAAGCTGGAAAGCCAGACCCAAGTTACGGCCATAGGCGTACGAAGCCTCAATCACCTCCGGGGCACTCCGTCCTAGAACTGCAGCAGAGCGGCAGGACTTGCTGATCAGACTGGCAGTCTTTAGGTAGGTCTTCTGGAGATAGTAGGCGAGTGTCTCATCAGTGTAGACGGGTTTCGATTCGTCTTGCGCAGTGTTCTTCAGTTGCATGAACTCGCCCTCCACTAGATTAGCAATTACAGTGGCCATGAGTTCGGTGACCTCGGGGTCGCGCAGACGAGCCAGCGCTACCGAGGCACGCCCGAGCAAGAAGTCACCCGCCAACACGGCCATCTTATTTCCAAACGCCAGGTTCGCGGAGCTGTTGGCGCGACGTGTCACGGCATTGTCGATAACATCGTCGTGCAGGAGAGATGCTGTGTGGATCAACTCTGTGATCTCGGCAAGCCGCCGTTGTGAAGGCAGGATGTTGTCATCTCCCGTGATATCATATTTGCTCTCGGCGTTTGGGGCCACAAGCGGGTTCATTTCTGGGTTGGCGTCTTCGAGAACTGATGGTGCACTGAAGGAGGAATCGACGGAGCTCGGTATATCCGTGTAGGTGTGGTGCTTGCGAGGGTCTAAAGCTGTCGCTTGGGACATGAGAAGGACAAGCATGGGCCGCATGTGCTTGCCCTCGCTATGAGTGTAGTACTTGGCGACCTTGTCCAGTGCTGGATGGCCCGACCCAAGTAGTTGTCGGATATTCTTGGTGAGAAACTTGAGCTCTTTTCCAACCATTCTCAACGGGTCAACCGAGATCCCCGGAGGCGCCTTTGGCATACCCTTGAAGATAGCCTGGGCCGCTGACACGGCAGCCCCGAATGGCGAGGCATCCCGCCGGCGCGTCGGGTGATATTTGCGGGATTGGAGAGCAATATGCGTGAAATGGAGGTCATCGCGGAGGCATTGGGAACAGACGGTGGTCGTCGTTCGTGATGAGAGGATCAGCCGGGTGGCTGAAGCAGTTCGAGCTCCCATACTCAATGCGAGGGCTCTTTGATTTTTAAACGAGAGAATCCAAATTAAACCATGGGAACCCGATCCCAGGAACCGAGACCGATGTGAGGTGTTTGCGGAGTACAAGGACGAACAATCTTGCGGGCGGGAAGATTTCGAGCTCTCTCGGGTCGGCACGGACCCGGTGCTACGCAGCCAAGTATGACTGACTCGGCGACCTCCAGGCCTGTTTATCGACATTTATGTACTTTAAAAACAGGATCAAGGTGATAATAGGGGAAAATTTAAATTTACAGCTCACTGACCACTTAGTTGACATACGATTCTGATAAAGGCATAGGGCAAGAAAAAGGTCCAGTATAATAGACACAGAAGACTGCGCCAGCCATCTGCACATTCCCCTACACGTCCGAATAAAAAGCCAGAATAAGGAAAACAATTGCATAATTAACACACGGGTTGAAAAAGGCCGCTACGAGGTAGAGACCTATGCATGGGACCAGTGCGGTAAAGGGGAAATGTTGTATCGATTATGGAACAACCACACTCCTCTTTAAATGGCATCGAAATCACCACCAGCATCTTCATCATCCATGTCTCCCTCCTGGATCTCCTTGGCAAGTTCGCGCTCCCGTTCCCGAGCTTCTTGGGCACTCTTAAGCTCCAGGCGGTGCTGGTTCATGGGGAAGCGCATGGCCTGCGATCAGACGAGTTCATGTTAGCAAGGACCAAAAAAACATTTAAGTGTTCAGCGAGGCGAGAGATCACATACCTTAACACTCTCATCGTGGAGGGCCAGACAGGCGCGGATACGCTCGTGGAACGCCTCGCCGGGTTCTCTGGTCGCATAGATGTCACCCACTTCCTTGCTCTTCATGAAACCGTGCTCGTGATCAAGCGTGGCCTCGATAACACCGTCACGAATAGCCTTGGCGACAATGTACTCGGCGGATTCTTCGCTATCGAGTCCAAGGCGAAGGCAGATATCTCGCAGAGAAATACGGGAGTAAGACAGTGACATCATGCGAATACCGGTCTTGATGACATTCTGTCGCAAACGCAAGATCAAGGTGTATGTGCCATCCTTTCGGAAAGTCTCGCTGTGGGTGTTGACAATGTTGAGGAATGCATCCAGATCAGCAACACTGACTGCCTGAGAAAGCAATAGATAAGGGTGCATGGCCCGTTCCAAAGCCGGCTGGCGGAAGACTGCGCGGTCAGGAATATCACCCATCAACAGCTCCACAACGACCAACAACTTGTGGGAAGCCTGGTAGAATCCACGAGCAACCTGGCTAGCAGGCGACTTGCGGGTAGCCCCAATCAGATGGCTATGGGCCTCGGTGTATTGCAGCTGGATGGCACGAATGCGGCCGAGATAGAACATATACCGAGCAATCTGGTTGTTAGACGCAGCCACTGGGAAGGGGTTATGCGAGATCAGTAGATCTGCCTGTGAGATATGGGACGTGGACAGGTAGTTGCGAAGCAGCAAAGTCATCACAGTAGCCTGTGTATCGACATCTTTCCGGAGCACAGCTGTGCGCAGCGCGGCCAGCAATGGCTGGCGGATAGTGGTAACAGCTGCTGCAGGAGAAGGAGGAAGTGGAGCAATTTGCTCGAAGAAGAGGGAGTAGTAAAAGTACACGCGGGCAGCAAGAGAATCCAGCGTACGGCGGTTGAGTGCTCGCAAGCGCTCGATCAAGCTTGTTGAGAACTGGGCTCCCTTCTGAATCTCCCGTTGGTCGAACAGGTATATCTGGACGAGAATAGAGAGATATGCATCCACCTCAGCAAGGGTCTCCTTAGGGATAGGCTTCTTATCCGAGTCAACCTCCATCTGCGAGCTAGCTGGAGCATTCTCGAAAGCATTGACTTGGCCAAGGGCTTCCAACAGAAACGAGGCTGTCGAGCTAGAAGCGGAATAGGTTTCCACAATGACTTCTGCGAGGACCTCTGGGGTGAGGTGTTTCCGCATCGACGATATCGATCGCAGAACGCGGAGGGTAAATCTGGGGTCAAAGTGGGCAACGGCTCGCTCGAGCAAGGTGAAGTTGGATTTGATATCTAAACCCATGCCGAACAAACATGCATTCATCGTTAGAGATCTGAACTTATTTTGATCAATGAAGAAGACAAGACGAACCTTGAATCGCCTTAGTTCTGGGGTCGACCTCTGGCTCGGTGTTCTCAACATCGCCATCCTCCACACCTTCCATTGTCACATCCTCCTCCTTATCGTTGGCGGACGATCTGGAACCCTTGGTCGGGGGCACTACAACAGTCATCTTCTCGTTACTTTTGCGGTCCTTGCTGGTGTTGGATGAGGATGTAGGCGCACCTGCCGTATCCTCTCCCATCTCAACATCCTCAGATCCATTCACACTGTTATCGGTTGACTTCGATCCATTCGTATGCGACTGATCATGCTCTCCCATGCTGTCGTTTGATGCACCGTTTGCGTCTTTCTTGGTCGAAGCTGACTTGGCCTTGTTGGCGGCGGCGCGAGTGGCGGACGCCTTGTCTTTCACACTTGAGCTCTGGGAGTTCGAGTTTGTCTTTTCGTCGTTGGCGGATGAAGAGGTGTCAGATTTATTATTTGATCGCAAAGAACGCCTTTCGGCCGGCATCTTTCTCAAGCTGTCGAGCTCAGCTGGGCAGCCACCAAGCTATCGGGAGAAGTAGGGGGAAGGGCGAGTGAGCACAATATGAAGACAGGAAGGAGAAAATCAATTTCAAGAGAGCCAAGCTGCCGGAGATCACCAGTATGATGGGGAAAAACTTGTGCGGACAGATAGATGAAGTTGATGGGTGATGTGATGTCAAGAGATGGGATGAACGGGCGCAAGAGACCAGATGAGCGCTTAGTCAGTGGAGCTTACTGCCCAGGTGGGCGGTCTCAACTCGGCAGGGCACTTTTTGCTATCGAAACTGTTAGAAGGACGACAAAACGAACATTGAGAAAAAAAAAAGAAAGAAATCGGCAAAACTACAGGAGAACAACACCTGAACCCGAATCAAATTGACACCATTGTGTTCAGTCAATTTCAGTGTGGCTACTCCGTAGACGTGGCTGATACACAGACACATTCTGGATTTAATGCCTCAGGTATCCATGCAGCTTTCCTGAAGTAAACAAGTGTGGTACAGTGTAGAGCATTCAACCACTCATCCTTCACAACAGAGCTTCAAAATACCCGCAAACATGTCGCTGCTCAGCTCTCACTTAGAGCAGATTACGCTCTCTTCCAATGCCATTGCAGATATGCCGTTAGTGCTTGTGATACCCCTCAAGCATGTTGCTTCGACTAACGCAAGCGTCCAGGTTCCCTCCTCCACGTATTTTCACTACTGCACTGTTGGGTTCCCACGACATCACAGCCTTGATCCGTGATACTGAGCCCTATGAACGAGCACTTTTCCAGGTTGATCCCTCTGCTAAGGTTCATGGGCCACAAAGACGCGCTACACGACGCGGGACTATGTTCCCCATTGAGACAGAAAGGGAGTCAATGGCAAGTCGTATCTATTTGGCGCGGGATAACCGTAACCGGTCTGCAGTGGCAAGAGTACTGGGACATGATATGATGGAAGTGATCAAGCGATCAGCGGGTACTTCAAGTAAAGGCCCCCAGGGGGAGGTCAACATTGAAGCGCTCCTTCGAGGCGCCGAGATCCTGTGCAATGTTTAGTAAGTGCTACATATCTAATAATAAATTTTGGTTTGGTCTAACTAGCTCAAAGTCCTGTTGCTGGTGCACAGGAAAAGATTGCCAACATTCGCTATCGGTATGAGATGATCAGTGAGTCCATAGCGCAATTGGAAGGCCGGGTTGCAAGGAACACTGTGGAACTGGATCAGATGAGATTGTCTTATGGAGATGATGAGGATAATTTTCCCCTTCCACCGGTGACAGAACCAGAGATTCCAGGGGTCACTGATGAGGATATTGAGCAAGAGTTGGCAGAAATCCGACACTTAGAGCAGAGGAAGCGAAGATTAGAAGAACGGGTTACGGGCATGGATCGAGATCTGGGTGGTTTGATAGGCTGAGCCTTTTCTTTCACCATGGTCATGTTCCTGCACTGTGGAAGACTTTCTATTGACCTCTTTGTCTGCCTCTCTCTATCCATCAAAAACGGACTTCATGCTCTGTTGACACCTCCAGCTGGATATCACCTCATTTTCTCAATAAAGAGTTTTCCACGTTGATGACTTGCCCTAGGTCTATCTTGCCCTAGTCATGTCTCCAATGGCTTGGCATCTCCTGACAAAGTCAAGGGAATCTCCAAGAGCTATCTAGAACACCTCTGGCACACTTGGCCATCGTCCTTTTACCGAATGGTTGGTTTCGTCGATATGGTGGTCGATAGTACAAGAGCATTGCAACTATATCCGCTGCCTGGGACTAAAGTACGTTGATCATGCAAAAGAAGCCAGCCTAGTTCTACCCGAGGCCCCGATCCTTTTTACCAAGCTACAAACTTCTCGATCCCGCCCTTACCTAGCGGCGGTCAATATTCCCAAACGTACACAGGATGGCGCGGGCAACTACGAAGCCAAGATGTGTCTCGTCATTGGAAAGAGTGTCCATGACCATTCCTAAGGAGGATGCACAAGACTATGTAGTAAGATACACGTGTCTACACGGACAATGCAATTGATCACCCTACAATAGTGCTTCCCTTATTTCGCTAGAAGAAAAGGCAAAAAGAACATAATGATATCATGTATGCAGGCAGCCACTTAAGAGGGGCTACTAGCCACATGGTAAGCTGCTAGCTACAACTTGGCGCCTTGTTTGTTTGTGGGAGGAGAATTATCCTTCCTTTTTTATTCTTTCTCCTCCAGTTCTCTGTCAGCTTGTACGACTGACTGGTTGACTATGTATGCTTGTTGATCCCTTTAATAAAACTTCAGCGTCGTATTATGGTTTCCAAGGTCTCCACGGATCTGATGATCCTAATTGACAACGGCATTTTGATTATCTCATAGCTACATATGTAGCTTAGCTAGAGAGTTGTTGGTCCAATTCCATATGCTAGACCCTATCACAGCTTCATTCTTCATTCTTCGTCCAAAAAACAATCCGATGGACTGGGAATAGCCTTGTCTAATTTATATCACTTAGTTCCCATAAATTATGTGTCATGTCTTCTATGAAGTTCGAAAGAGATCTCATCCACAGATAACTACTTCCAAGTCTTGGTCTTCCGATAATACATGGCATTCAAAATTTAGAGACATGCATTATCGGTGCGGGAATCCATCATCTCACCACGGGTATGTCATTAACAGAGGCATTGACAGAGGATTACAGAACGTTCGAGTCTATGAAAATCCACCAGCACTAGAGTCTATCAACGCGGGGATTCAAGTGGCGCTAAACATGACTTTGATATTGACGAGGAAAAGGTGAACTCAACTCCATCTTATACACATGTATCGTTGGTCAAAGTCACTTGTGACTGAGAGCATGTCTGACAGGAATCATGTTCTTTTTGGATGTTTCTGCAATCTAATAGTCCCATGCTGTTACTAGAAAACCCCTTTGTAAGTTAGTCAGTTTTCTGTTTCTCATGAGTAGGGCTGCAAACAAACCATCTATAGAGATAGGATAGGTTTTATCCTGCATTTCATTAATACGGGAGCAGATGTGACATGGTGCAGAACTTCTCAGTCTGCTATATAGAAACCAGACAATCAGATGGATCACAGAGATACCATTCATTATACACAACATAGATCTCAGTGGCCAGGCACGTGATAGTGATCCGTGCTGAACATGACCACCTTTTAACCTTAGTCCAGGGCTGGCGCCCCAGAGCCTAGGCCTGCAAGGCTTTCTCCGGGCCTCTCTCCAGGATTCCCAGGGTTATAGGTAACCCTAGAGCTACCAGTGCACTATATGCTCGTATTAGGAGGATTGGATATGATATACCCCAGCAATATCATGTACATTACTTGATAAGAAAAAACCACACAATATCACACACAATATAAAATAAAGTATCCAAATTTCCAACCCAAGCAATAAAGATCTCTGCGAATTGTAATTTGACAGAACAGGATTGGCCTCTTAAAAGGCGGATGCCAAGACCGGGCACCTCCATCACCGCCAAAAGTTCCACCCAAGGTCCATTTCAAGCAGAGTCGGACTTTCCTACTCAAGTGGACTATCTTGTGCGATAGTCAAGCCTTTGTTTGATATCCAGGCAAGTGCGACCCGGTATATTCATCAACACGGGTTATTTCAAGTCCCTTCTCCTGTCTTTAACACCATTCAACTCGTGCCCTTGAATCCTCATCAGAGTACCAGTACATCATTGTGTGAAGATGGATGGGTCTCAGGGCCAAGTTGGACAGCCAATGGGTGCCCCGCAGCCACAGCACTCAAATCTCATTCGAACCGATCAAGTGCAGAAGCTACCACACCTCAGTGACCAGCAGAAGGCCCAGCATACCCAGCTAGTGCGCAGCCTCTGGGATCTGCTGAACACTCGCGATCCACAGACCCACGAATACCAGCAGGCGCATACGAAGCTTTCGCAGCTATCCCAGAACTTGATGAAGGGAATGCGGGTTTTCCAACAGAACCGACAACAGGCAATGCAACAGCATCAGCACCAGCAGACAGGGGCGGTGCAACAGGGACAACCAGGACAACAGCCACAGCAAGGGCAGCAGACACAGCCAGTACAACAAGCTCCTCAGGGAACGCAAGGACCACAAGGGCAACCAGTCCAACGAACGCAGTCCAACAACCCACAGACGATCAACCAGCTCATCCCGCAAATCCAAGCCCGGGTTAGCGCGCTCAATTTTTTCCTGCCTCCGAACGTGACCCCCGAGCAGGTGCAGACATGGATACCCGAGGCACGGCTACGATATGGTATCGCTCTGCAGAAACAGGAGGTTGGACGAGCTCGGATGGCTGATCTTCGTTCGTCATATGCTCAGCGGCAGGCTCAGGGCAATATGAGCCAAGAGGAAATGCAAGAATTCAAAAACCGACAGTTGGCGGCTGAAAAGCTTTTCCGGGAGGGCAGCGAGTTCTTGAACAAGTTCAAGGAACAGCAGGAAAGCTTCAAGATTCAATCGCAGCAGAATCCGCAGAATCAAGCGATGAATCAGACAGCACAGGCAAATACGCCTGTCAATTTGAACCAAGCCCCAGTCGCTCCTCCCGTGCCAACTCAAAGTGTACCAAATCCCCAGGTAGGAACGGCAGTAAACCCTATGCAACCAGGCCAACCTCAGCCCCCAGCTCCCCACACTATCAACTCAGCGGTCAACGCAGCACGCCAAACTGCCATGTCCCCCTCTGCCTCTCAGCCTGGACAACAAACTTCTGCACAATCCGCTGGAAACACTCCAGTCCCAACCAGTGCACCACAGCCTCAGGTCCAACGTCCACAGCCACCATCCCAGCAGGGAACTCCAGGAGGGCAACTCACTTTCAGCCAAACCCCTCATCCTGACGGCTCCACCCCCACACCCCCAGGGCCTCCCCAGCAGGTGAACCAAGGCCCACCTCGTCCTCTCTCGCACCAAGCTGCTATTTCACAAGCCGCCCAAACCTACACCAATCCCACCCCTCAGCAACAAACAATGAATCAACAAGCCCAGGCCAACCAAGCTCACCCCCAGGGCTATCTTGCCAATCGCCCAGGTGAAGCCTCCACCCGCAACACCAACATGGCAATTCCCAAGAACTTGCACGTCTCAACCCCCGAGCCCGTCTCAATGCCAGGCTCCCGTCCCTCTCTTTCCGGCGGTCCCAGCCACGGCGCCATGGGCATGATGGGCCAGCCCGCGATCCAGAAACACCCCGGCTACGTTCTCGAAGGTGAAGGCCAGCGCGTGCTGAGTAAGAAGATGCTCGACATCCTCGTGCGCCAGGTCACCGGTGGCGGCGAAGGAGAAATGCTGACACCAGATGCGGAAGAGGTAAGTCTGTCCCTCTTCAAAGTGAGAGACAAATAAAAAAGAGATCAAAAATGTTAACATCTCTCAGTTCATCCTCCAAATGGCCGACGATTTCGTTGACGAAGTCATCACCCAAGCCTGTCGTCTTGCAAAGCTACGCCCTTCCTCGACCCTCGAGCTGCGCGATATCCAGCTCGTCCTCGAGCGCAACTACAACATGCGTATCTCCGGCTTCTCTACTGATGACCTCCGCACCGTCAAGAAGCCTCAGCCTACCCAGGGCTGGACTCAGAAGATGTCTGCTATCCAGGCTGCTAAGGTCACACAGGGTAAGAACGAGTAAGATGTAAATACAATTTGCACCGCAGCTGCTGTTGCTGTTGCAATCTCGCGTGTAGTCGGGCTAGTCTGCCTCTTTCTTATGGTTATCTTGCACACTACGCTTTGCTTTACGTTTCGTGTTGCTTTCTCGGGTGTCAAATGGGGGTATTTTCTATTTTTTTTTTTTGGTTTCTTACCCTTTCTATCGATTCTTCTGGTAATATGGCGTTTACGTGATGAATGGGCAGGTCTTGCATATCTTTCTTTGCTTCTCTTATTTGACTTGCGTTTCATCATGGTTGGAAGGGGTCATTTTAGTGGGCTCTTGCTTGAGCCCATCTTTGCTTTCTTGCGGCCCAGTCTATGCTGTGTTTGAATAATGAATTGCCTACCATGGCTTATCTAGGTTGATTTCACTCCGTGTGCTAACGTATTTCACCACCGAGTGGCCACAACCACCGAGTGGCCACAACCACCGAGTGGCCACCCCAACCCTACATATTAAATTTAAATGCATTTTTCTCAACCAAAACTCCATTAAATTAATTCAACTAACTAATTGGTCTATCTGGACATGTTTCTCTTCTATACCCTGGCAATCTGTATATTCCACATCCCCGGGGGGGCTTTGTACGTGGTTGTAAACCCGATTCTCTAGGTATACCGGCGGCGGGGGAAGGTGCTTCAGTTGCTTCCAGTTGCTGTATAATTAATACAGATACTTCTTGAACTGAGAGGCCTTCTTCGGCGGGTATCTACCTTCGGGATCGAGTGCGCTTTTGCTTCTGCTTCTCGTTGGCGGC